GCCTGTTTCCTGCCCTGTCGAGCTTTTGGTTCAGCGTCCCTCGCTTCCTGCGAGTGTCCAATGCATGTCAAAATAGGTGCGTCGTGGTTGTCGGAAAAAGGGGCATGCCCGGCTACCCCAGTTTATGGCTTGTAAAAATGGAGAACAATCATGAAAAGTCATGATGAATGATGATGAACAACGATAAGCCATGGGGTTGCGCGGCTTTCCAACATTCGAGACAACACCAAATGCAGGCGAATGATTTTGAAAATGGGTCAAATGCAAACGAGTTGCATTCTTTCGTCGACGGTCGCCATCTGCGCGAGCCTGAGGGTGACATGTTGCAATCATGCATGGAGGGACCCAAAATCACAAAACTGGAAGGACATGTAAGGACCAAAGCACTTACCATATGTCCATATTAGTCCCCCAGCCTCTTCAAAATCAACGTTGTTTCTTTCTTCTTTGGCTTCGGCTTTGGCAGCATCCTTCTCCCTCTCCTCACGTGCCTCACGAGCCTCACGAGCCTCACGTGCCTCACGAGCCTCACGTGCCTCATGTGCCTCACGTGCCTCACGTGCCTCACGTGCCTTTGCCTTGGCCTCACGTTCCTTCTGCTCCTTGCGCTCTTTGGCTTCCTCCGCCTTCCGCTTCTCCGCCTCGCGCCGCTCGGCCTCACGCTTCTCGGCTTCGCGTTTCTGACGCAGCTCCTCCTCCTTTTTCTCGGCCTCGCGCTGCTCCTGGGGGCAGCTTGGGCGAAAAAGATGGGAATCCTAACCATGGCTAGTTCACCCAGTGACAAACTGGGATGATCTAGGTTTTTACAGTATACACCACTTCATACTTCTATATGGGCTTGTCAGTAGCGTTAATCAGTAGCCTTAATCCCATCCCTGTCGCACAAACTAACCCAGCCAAACCAAACCCTGGTTTGGGTTTCCCTTTGCTATTGGGGAGCATTGACATTATATTGGGGGGATGGGGCTGCATGAATATGTTACCAGAGGATGGGATTACATGGGTATGTTACCAAAGTAGGGGACTTGTGGGACCCTACGTCGAACTCACCAAAAATTGGTGATCTGGTGGTCAGTGAATACCAACCTTGGGGGGGTTCTGCCTGTCTTCATGGCTCCTCCAGACGCTTCCGCTCTTGCCGCTCTTGTTCAAGCCTCTCTTGTTCAAGACGTGCCTTATGGCTGCGCGGGAGAGAGTTGCCCCTGCCCTGGGATGAGGAAACTTGGGAAGCAGATCAGCAGACCCCTCGTTGACATTCGTTGACCACAAAATCGTGTCTTGTTGAAAAAAGTTTGGAACATTTCAAAGGCAGGGGCCAATCTTATCAAGATGACCATCTATGATAGATGAAGAAATCAGAATTCACCGACCTCAAATAAGACCATTCTAGGGTGAATCCCCTAACCGCCCTAACCGCCTTAGCGCCCTAACCATAATCTATGGCAATCTATGGTGACGTCATGGTGACGTCCGAGGTAAAGTCGTGACCCTGCCGTTGCCTTCTCAGCTTCTCGTTGCTTGCGTTCTGCCTCCAAACGGGCCTCCTCCTCTCGTCTCTCCTCCTCCATTGCAAGACCGACAAGACCCACAGCCGTGAAGTCATGGACAAACACTACTGAAAAATGCTGAAAAACACATATTCAAATCAACCAAATCTAGATCAAATCTTATGAAATCGCATGAAACAACAGCAGGCAGTTGACATTCCAACCTCTCCAGTTCCATTTCGACCTCCCATAACTGGTCCTCTCGTCTTGCCTGTTCAGCTTCCTCCCGTTGCTTGGCTGCCTCAACGTTCAAGACTGTTGGGTGAGACTCCAGCTTAAGGGAACCTGAACATGGCAAATATGGGAAAATGTTCATAGACCACCTTTAGAAATTATGGACATTCAAGGGTCCCGTTTCAGACCAACCCTTCCATCAATCCCTGGCAGCTATCCATGTGCCTGTCTCGCTTGACGCTTTCGACGTTGCTTGGACTGCTCAACCGGCTGCATGTCATCCTGGCCAGGCACGCAAGGAATGGGCTGGTTGCTGGTTTCCATCAAATCCCGATCTATTCCCCTCGCCCAACGAACATAGCCCCCCAAAACACCACTCATCCCAGCACATATTCATTTACAGATGCATAGGAACAAGAAATGCATGTATATTATGTGTATATATATATAATTATATAACTTTTACTGTCTCTCTCTCTCTCTCTCTCTCTCGTTCTCTCTCTTTCTCTCTCTCCATTGCCATCAATCTTTATAGTCGCACAATTCTCTCCCTCTCATCATCGGAAATCTAGTGCACGATCATAGCGTTTGAGGATTTATCATTGTTTATCATGTAGCCAAGGGTCAAAAGGACCGAAGTGGGATGAACCAACGAAAAACCAACCGCACGGCATGCTGAACACGGCCTCCTCTTCAATTTCTTCGGGTTCCGGCTGCACCTGTGACATCCGTGATGCTGCTATCACCTAATCATTTATCCCTTCCCCATATCTCAATAAACCATAATAAACCATACTAAAACCCCCAAAACCCTGGCGGAACTGGATTTGGGGGTTTGGGATTCCTCAAATATCCAAAAATTGCATCCCATTCTCAGGCCCCTGCAGGCTCAGGCTCGGCCACTTCCTCACATAGCGGAAATCCATGGCTTTTCTATTTGTCCCTAGGAATTGCTGTACAAATGGTGGGATTTACGTATCTTATACGTATCGTCTTGCTTCTTTTTTGTTGAGGGGATGATTGAGATGGTAATCCCTAGATTTCTTGGATCTCGCCCATTGGAGAAACAGCGGCGCACCTCCACTTCCTCCTCCTGAACATCCGCCGATTCCAATGCCTCCAACTTTGCGGCAGCATCTGCCTTTCTGGCCTGAGGATGGAGTGTAGCCCAGGAGTTTATTGAAATGGAACCACCCCAAAAAAAATATATATATATACACACACACATAACTTCCTTAATAATATGAAAACCAGCCTCCAAACTCATTCTTGGGGTGGCAACTTATACAATTGTGTATGTGGTTTCCTATTTTGGCATGTGGCGGCCAACAGGTTGGTCAACACACATCCACTGCCGCCTTCTTTCTCTCCTTGCGAATCTGAACTGCTTTCTCGCGGCCGGCCTCCCAAGACGCTTGGAAGGTTATAGCCACCAGCAGCAACTATCAATCACACATCAACATGAGGAAATGGATAGATTGTCATATACCAAATCCTAGTGCAAAATTGGGGGATGCCGGCTGCAAATGCCACCTTCTTCTTGGCATCTTTCCTGTGTGAACAAGGGAAAGGGCCAAAATAGTAAGGGCAGCTGCAGAGCTTCTCCGCCACAAAAGCCATTGACCCCCCATGATCCCCATGATGGGTCTCTACCAATAGCTCATGAATAGCATGGTAAATATGGTAACCAACCGCCCTGAAAACCACTTTTTTTTGAGGCAAAAAACGGGAATCTGGACTCTTCAGCCATTCATCAGCCATTCTATTCTGCATGTAGCTCGAAAGCAACCATCGCAGGGTGCCACCAGGGTTCTGTTCCAACTGGTCGATCCACGACTCATCCAGCGGCTCTTCCGCCTCTCGGCATACAGTGAGTTGAGCATTGGAATCCTTGGAACTAAGATCCTAAAGTCATATTCTACAGTAGTGCCACATTCATTATATATAAAACAATATCAACATATATCAACTATCTGATAGGTGATTTCTGAATATGTCTGAACCATATCCAGTGGAGCCAGCTGGAAACCGATCAACCGCGCCTCTTTCTCTTGCTGGGCCTCGGCTAGCCATGCTGCAGTCTTTCCGCAAACATCAAACATTTCAAGGCTGACTCAGTTGACCATCATGGTCATTTTCCCCATGAAGCTAGCCATAAACTGGAGTAATTGGACTGAGATTTCGCCAATGGGTGAAAAGCGAGCAAAGATGCCGCCTTCTGGGCCCTGACTGCTTTTTCAGCAGCTTCCCTCGCAGCAGCTTCCTGGGATCCATGTCGATACTTCAAAACCGTCCCTACCGTCCAAAACATTGGAATCTGATGATCTTTAGCTATTTGAGCACTAAGAAATTGGATGGCTTTTGTTCTTCTAGATAAGGATTATAGGCAAGCAATGTATTGATGATCCTTATAGACCTCGAAATCAAAAAAGTTCCGCTCCTTGCGCTGCTGCAGGCGCTTTCTGGCGCGCTCCTGTGAAGGGGCAAGAGGTACCTGACAGCTACGGCCAATCATGGCCAATCTTGGATACCCTGTCCCCCCTCAAAATGTTTAAGCTGGTCGGTCTCCCTCTTTCTCTTTCTCTCTGTATATACATACATATACATATTATGTGTATATATATATATCACATGTACATAATTATGAATATAAATATATATATATATACATATATATATAGATATATATATATAGATATAAATATAGATATTTAATTATTCTAGATATTATATATATTATATATACATTGTATACATTACATTGTATTTTAAATAGATTATATCTTATATATATATATTATATATGTTAAAACAATATTATACTATATATTATATATGTTATATGTTATATATGCTATATTATATATATATATAATTTTTATATATTATATTATATTATATTATACTATACTATACTATATTATATTATATTATATTTATATTATCTTATATTATATTATATTATATTTATAATATATTATATTATATATTACAATATATTGTATAATATTATAATATAGTATAATATTATAATATATTGTATAATAGTTTATTTATGTGTTATATTTATTTTTAAAAAAAAAAGTTTGTTAGAAATCAAAACAAATTAAAGATATATATATATGCATATTGTACTATGATATATGTTAGATATATTAGATATATAATAACAATGAAATTATACAATTTCAAATATATATATATATATCGAATACTTGAATACTATATAAATCAAATGTAAAACATATGCCATATAATTCACATATATATAAAACATATAATGTATATATATATATGTATACACCATATATATATATTGTATAGTAAATATACATATATATATATATACATATATCTAATATAATATATATATATAATTAAATATATATAATATCTATAATTAAAGATATATAAAATATACAAGTTAAATATAATATATATACAGTAATATTGAAAAAATAAGCTGCGGCCGTATCCCCAACAGCCGCAACGTTTTATTTTTACAAATCTTTCTGAAGCGCCTGCCAAGCCAAGCGCTGGACACACCTCAGCTGGGGTTCCGTGAGTTAAATGGCCGCAAATCCTGTTGAACTTGACCCGGCTGCTCTGCACCGAAGCCTCCCAGACCTCTCCGGAACCTTCTCCGGAACCCTGTTGACTCTGCACCAAAGCCTTCCAGACCTTCTCCGGAACCTTCTTCGGGAACCTCAAGGTTATTGTCGAAAAGACAAGCTCGGTCTCTCAAATCAAGACTCTGCAACAAATTTTGTGCAACCTCTGTCTTCCCTCCTGCCCCACAGCGGCGTTCTGTGATGAAGATGCAGTCCACAGGCAATTGAGATTGACGAGTTCCTTGAAGGACACGATGCAAGTTACTTTCGGCTCTTTCGATATGGCTCAGAATTATGAGATAATCAATTGGTCTCTTTCGTCGATGCGCTTTGGCGTACAAAGAAGCCACGTCCCTTGGGACTTGCCCACTGTCTGAGGCCTTCACAGAATTCCTGGCTGAGTAACGGCAAGTATCCGTCACTTGGTGCCAGTCTATTGAGATCAGGCGACCAGTGCAAATCGGCACTTGCTCCAGGGAAACTTCGCGAGGAGAATGATCAGCGCCCACACGCCAAACGCGTACACCAGGGAAGTCTTGTGAATTCAAGAACTGTTGTGGTGAGCGTCGTGCAGGTGGCTCCTTCGGCTCAGGGGGCCTTTGCAGCCGATTTGGTGGGGCCCCTCAGGCTCACGTGGGCCCAAGCGAGCCAAAAACCCTGATGGTGGCCTTGATGGCTCAGGTGGCCGCTGCCCAGAACTCGATGATGAAGGATCCGCTGCAAGAATCCTCGCACGATGTGGACCACCAATGTCCACCTTCGCAGCTGCAGGCTTTGGACGTGGAGCAAGATACACAGGTTGAATTGGCTGAGTTAATCCGGGTGACTTCCTCTCCCTCAGATGATGAAACTTCAAGATTCACTACTTCTTCTTCAGCTTCACCCCCAATCAAGTCCTGCTCTGACTCCTCTGATCGAGTTGGAGACCAATAGCGCGAAGTGAACAACGGTCTTGCTTGTCCACCCGCGTGATGAACGGGAATATTATCCCAGATCTCTCCCTCTGCAAGGCGGTGGTCAATGTAAGCCAACCGACGACGCCTTGCAGCAGGCCCGCCACGAATCCCGCGAGTGCGACGACGCTGGCTCGGGGAACGCGAGCGGTGACTCATGAGCGAGGGGTTTTACAGGGACCCCAAACCCTCAATCAAAAGTGATCCCCTTAAGAAACACCAAAGACAAACAGAGCCAACGCGGCTGATAACCAATTTAAACAAATAAATAACTGCAAACCCCAAGAGAAAACACGAAAACAACAAAACCGACAAGCACAACTAAAAGGGCAAGACGGCCTCGCTGTTTTGCCATCTTGAGCCAAATGTCAGTGACATGCGGACCTTGAGCTGGAGGGGTATATACATGAATGAAAGACTGTCAGTTTACTGCATATCTTTCAAGTATTATGATACATATATATATTTATTATTATTATCATTATTCTATAAATATCTTATGATACATATATATATATATCAAAAAATATTATATTATATATACTGTGATATATATATATATATATGTACATATATTATGATTTATACTTAGAGAGCAGGACGCTGTGGGAGTTCACTTTTTTATTGTTTTTGGAAAACTGTAACATATTAAAGCTTAAGCTACAGATGAAGCTGTGTTCATGTCCACTACAGGGCATGTATTGCTTGAAGAAGTGTCCAGGTGTTCACTCTACCTTAGATAAATGCTACTACATTGTCCCCTCAACAAGACACAATTCCTGCAGAATATGCTAGATGACTTCAAAATAATTACAACATCCCCATACCCGCTAACAAATGCAGTATTCAAAACAAACATACCCTTCTGAATAAGAGTAACCTTCCGTTGGGGCAATGCAGTGTGTTTTTGCAGGGATAATATCCAAACAAAACATGAAGTATTCCTTGAAAAGTTGCACCATGCCCTTTGAAGGAGTGCAGTGTGCATTTCCAGATGTCTAACCCTCCTTTCAAAGGAGCAGTACCCGTTTTAGAAAAGTCAATATTTCTGCATGATATATATATATATATGCAGTATTATTGACATAGGGCATCCCTTTCAAAAGTGCAATATGTTTGAAACTGTGAGCACTAACATATGTTCAAACAATGTTTGATTGTCTTAATATTTAAAGATGCACATTCTTCAAATTGCATTTTTTTTCAACAGGGGAGCTGCCTACACCAAAGGGTGTTGTTATTCCCAAAATATGGTTCGTTGTCTTGGATACATGTGGCACGTGTTCTTCATTTAAGAAAATATATTGTGAAAAGGGCATTGCATGTGCAAGAGGATTCATTTTTGACATAGAAGTAGACTAAGACATGGCCTACTTCAATGGGATGCTCTACCGGGCTGTACCATTTTATAAAAGAAATGCACTTGTTGAAGGAAGCACTCATTTCAAAGAGAGGCATCACTCCTTCTCAAGGGAATCTTTCAAAGTGTTTGAACATGTGCTAATCCAAGGGTTTGAGCCAAGAATGTCAATATCAAAATCAGTTCTACGCATTCATTGGCTGCCTATGTTTTTGCATTTGTTCAACACCGTTTTTGAAAGATTACATAAACAAACGAAATTGCCTAATTTGTGTCCCAAGCTCCCCAAGCTTCTTCCAGTGATACCTGCATTTTGCCATAGTTTTTTACATTATTTTCTAATGGAACCACAGGCCCAAAGCAAATAATAAAATCAACCAAAGCAAGTTTGCAACCCCTAAAGTGGGAGAACTGGCAAAGAGTTAGGTCTAGGTCCTTAGCCCTTCAAAAAACAAACAACGAACCAGAAAACAAGAAACCAAAAAACAAAGAAACCAAAAAATAAACAAGACTGCACACCCAAAGGGGGGGAGTAGTGGCAGAGAGTTGGGTCTTGTCATTTTGCTTTTTTTGTTTTTTAGTTTTTTGTTTTTTGGGTTTCTTGGTTTTTGTTTTTTTGGATTTTGGTTTTGTTTAGCCATTGCAGAAAAAGCAAGAAGAAATTGTCAATGGTTGCAAAGCAGTGAGAGAACCATGGCACATGAGCAGTGTCAGTGGTTGCAGAATGCAGTGAAAAACCGCACTCCCGGGTGTCCCCTTCTGTATATTTATACATCTGCATGTGTGTGTGTATGTATCATTATATATTTTATATATCCTTTCATGGCAAGGGCAAGAGATTATAAAACACAACCGACTCATCCAAGATCATCCCAGGTGTACGTTTACTCAATAATTGATCAACCCCTAGTCACCTCTGCAGGCATACCCCCAGTGAAAATCATTATGTTTTCTTTGGCTGGCCCCTTTTGCGCACTTCGGGCGTTGGCTTGACGTTCCGGACGGCCGCCAAACCAGGCCCGACAAGGTTCCTGGGCGACCATGGGAGATAGATAGTGTCTGTGACTATCCGTGCATATCCAACCATATCCAGATGTATGGATCTTGTGTACAAGGCAAAAATTGAAATGAGATGCGACGAGCACATATGATGCATCTGTCATATTGATTCTCATCATTCTTCCAGTTAAAAATTGCAATAATTTTTGGATTTACATCATTGAAAAATCATAACTCATATCATATGGGGTGTATCTGAAAATGGTGGAAACCTTAATTTAAAGGGGGGAAACCATTGTTCATCAGGCTGCAAGTTTCCAGATGGTTTGACCTAGTGGATGCTTTGTTTTCGGAGACGGGTACATTTGTTTTCGTGATGTGTCATGGTTTTAATGGGCTTTAATGGGCTATTAAAATTAAAACCAATGATTGTCAGGTACAGCCATAGTTGGACACAAAATCCCTCCGAGCTGGCGCCAGGCATCATCATGAGCTCGGTCGGCAACTCGATGGCGTCTGAAGGCAGGCCTGCGCCACCTCCATAGCTCATCGTCAGTGGATCCCAGTGCCTCGCCAGTTTTTCTTTCGCGCCGGAAGCGAATGGAACCGGATGGAATCGGATGGAACACCTGGGAAGTTGAGAAAAGTTAGATACCAATTTTCTTTCCATACTTGTAACTGTTCATTTTTGCACCATAATCGAAACGAAAAATAAAGAAAATATGATTTCTCGAACCATGTCTGCCATAAGTATCATACCATGATTAGTAGTTATCATGATAAGGAGGTTGGAGAAGATGTATGTGTTTTTTACCCACCATGCATAATTGCCATGATGATTTGTGCACTTTACTCACTCTTTCATAGCAAAATGGCCACATACAGCCCTTACAAGGACCTTCTTCGTCATTACTGTGCCCCGGTGTTCAAAGTGGAAGCCCTAAATCAGAATCATGTTACGTTCAACATGTTCATATGTTCTTCATTGTTCTTCATTGTTCTTTGTCATTCTTCTAGGCGATCAGGCAGGCCAGGTCGCGGCACCAGCCGCTACCAGGCCCCAAAACATGCAGCCCAGATGCAGGTCGTCAGGTACATGTCCCTCTGATGCCTCGATGATTTGTGCCTCGGCATAGAAAAAACTCACCAGTTCTTGGTGATTGCCGTTGCTGGATCATCTGGATCCAAGCCGAGTCAGCCGCTGCTGCTTTCATGAAGGGACTTGGTTTGTAGGCAGGCGCTTCAGCCTGCTCCTGGAACCAGAACAGTTCAACTCAGATTTCAGGCAACTACGCCTCATCATTTCTGATTACTTCGCACGGCAGTCCCAACCGAGTCCTCAGTCGCCATGGCTATTGGCCAAGTCTGGTCCTCACCTGCATCCAGAATGCAGCTGAAAAAACTTAGCTGACAAACATTTTCACTGCCGATCTGTGGGTGTTGCATGGTTTCGCGTGGCCCCAAAGTGGAAATGAATGGAGTCTCAATGTCTTCCCTCTTCAAAACCCACCTCAATGTGAAGCTCCAGGATCTCAACAACGGCACACAACACGAGCAAAACCAAAACGCATGGGCCATCAACAGGGCCCCTGAGCCAAATTGGTGCCACCATGCCACGGATATCGCAAATCCAAACTCGTCATATTCCCAGCCCGTCTTGGAGTCCCTAAAGTTGACTTCAAGTTTCTGAGGGTATGAAACCCTGAAAGTTTCGCAGTTCATGTCCATCTACCTCCACCAGTCCCAAAGATGTCAGGTCCAACCGCAATCTGCATTTCACCCAGCTTTAAAAGGCTGTTTCTTTGAACAGCACGTCGGGTGCGAGTGAACCTAGCTCCATTTGCCCAGATCTAGTCGACCTGCCATTGCGGCCAGAGGTTCAGCATCAAGGACCGGAAGGAGCCTCCAACTTCGACAAGGCCTCTTGCCGCTTGCCCCATGTTCAACGATGTTGGCCTCACATGCAGTTTCCACATTTGGGTCTCGTCTGAAAATACGGTGCCCCAAAATGTCACTGGTATCATGTGCTTAAGGAGGTTGTTATCTGGTGGTATATCGGTATACCGGTTTCATTGCATGGCTGCACGTGGCAGTTTGGACATGACAAGCATGTCTTCCAGCTGTGGGTACATATCATTGGCATGAATCTCAGGGACCTCAAATGCTCGAGAAAAGTAGCAGCGACTGAGAGCCCGCTTGGAGCCTTCAGGTGAAGACCTTGCTGTTTCCGCTATTGGTAGGATCGCCATCTCTAGGAAAAGATCACGTGCACGTGGCAGTGCTCTTGTTGGTGTGACTGAGATCCAGGGCGAGATCAAACTATGGCAGGCCAAGGTTCAAACCAATCAGGTTCTGTACGGTACTTTTCTGGTGATGCAGAGGACAGTAAGGAATACAAACGATGGAAAACTTGGTGCTGTAACAAGTTGCTCACTTTGGAAAAGCTCCCAAAGATTGCCCGAGGCTCCTACATCTATACTCTTCTCAGTGGGAAAGCGCTGGAAGCGATTGAGCATCTGGAGGTAGGCGATTATCAGAAAGAAGGTGGCGATCAAGTGCTCTCTGCTTGATGCCCGGCTTCCTCAGAAAGAGAAAGTAAATGAGCTTGGTGAAATTCTGGGGAAGTGTTCGCCTTGCGTGTTCGTGAGGGCGAAACCATGAAGATGTGGAACCCCTCAGTGTGGCTCTGCGATCGTGCTATCCTGATCTGATCGTGAAGAAAAAGGGCACTGCATCGGTCGAAGAAGTTTTCCCTGTCGAGGACTTGGATGGATCCCCTCAGATCGAGGCTGAGTTTGCTGATGTTGCAGACCTGCTTGAAGATTGCATGCAGGCTGTTGATGGAGAAGGCGATGATTTTCCCGAAACTGATGTGGCCGCGGTTTTAGCAACCACCTGGCGTGAAAAGCGTCAAGAGCTGAGCAAACTGCAGAAATCAAGACATTTCGGCAAGGCGAAGGAAGTTCATCGAGCGTCCAGGGTCGAGGTGGAAGAACTCAAGGCCAAGACATCTTGTCACAAGTGCGGAAAAAGAGGGCATGTGGCCTGTGAATGCGCGTCTGGCAAGAGCTCAGGTAAAGGTTCCAAGGCTTCTGGATCAGTGTCAGATTCAAATTCTACAGGTGCAGCAGTGGCGGTTAGTCAAGATGATGCTCAGGTGGACTTCGCTGCCTCTGTTTCCGATTCACCACCCGATGTTGGATCGCTTACGTTATCGTGCCAAGGAGCCCACTGCCTCCACACCCCTGCAGGGAGTAGCCTTCGTGTCAAGTCCTGGATATGGTGTGCTAGATTCAGGCTGTGGACGCACTATCATCGGTGCTGACGCTCCTGATGCTTCTCAGAACATCTGGAAACAACTAGGAATGCCCACGCCGGAGTTTGTCAACGAAACTCATCAGTTCAAGTTTGCCAATGGAGGGGTTGAGACGTCATCCAAAGTTGTCCTGATGCCCGTCACCTTGGCTGGCAGGAAGGGGATCAGGCGAGCTTCCATTGTGGGAGGCGAAGCGCCCTTACTGATGTCGAGATCCGCCTTTAAGAAACTGGGTGCCTCTCTGGGTTTTGGTCGTGACACCTTGAAGCTGTTTGGACAAGAAGTTCGTCTTCAAGTGAATCTAGCTGGGCAGTATGTAGTGCACTTGGTAGCTGATGTGGGTGAATCTACAACTTTGTCCTTTGCGGACGTGATGGCCAACGATCGTCAGCCAGAATTTCCAGATGTGTCTGACGAGCTGCCCGCTCGGAGTGGCGAATCACCACCTGATGTTCCAGTGCAAGCTGGTGCTTCTCCACAGAAGGCCCAGCAGGAGGACTCGCCACTAAATCAGGTCGGTATTTGGGTTCAAGACAATAGCGGGGCGAATAAATCTCATGATGGCCCCAGCTGGGATCAGGTGGTTCGAAGGGTTGTTCGATCTGCGTGTAGCTTCAAGGTGACTGCTGATCACTCATTTGCATCCGGCACCAACCAGAAGCATTCGATCCATACCCTTCCAGTTAAGGAACAACATGTCATCACAGAATTCCATTTTGTAGGACCTGCGCGTTTTCCCAACCCGTCCAGGATGAATGCAGAGAAGTCTCGGTGGAAGCCCAACCCGACAGCTCGTCAAGATGTCTCATGAGGTCTGCTCGTCCGAGTGTTGTCCAGAGAACGGTTGCATTCACCTGATGGATGTTTTCTCTCCTCCGAGATTTGCACCAGTGGTTTAGGCTCAACGTTTCAGGGCCAGGACTTGTGATCTCAAAACTGGATATGATTTGTCTAAGAATAGTGATCGAAAACGAGTCGAAGAAGATATAATCCAGAATCGTCCTGATTCCTGATCTGTTGGTTTTGAGTCCACCATGCACACATGAAGGGGGATGGTTCAATCTCAATGGTAGCAAACTTGATCAGCTTGAGCGTCTGCAGTTCGAACATGGAGTTACCCCGAAACACAAACCCTCTGTAAGCGATTCGCTACAGTGAAGCTGCACATATGGCAGGTATGGACTTCAGTTGCCCCAGAGTGAGAGGCTAATCCGAAAGAGCACCAGACTGCTTGTGAGCGAGTCCGATATGAAGGGACTCGGGCTGTCCTGGACCATCAGATCCGGCTCATGCTAACCATGATGTGGTTCAAGGTAGTGCCCCAGGTGTCTCCTCTGTCAGTCAGTACGTAGGTGCCTATACTCCCAAGTTTGTTCATGCCGTGTTGGAGACTGTCAGCCAGTTCTGTGCGTCCAAGAAGATTGCATGCCTCCCCACCGGTGGGAGCAAGTGTTAGTCGTTGCCGAAGCCAAACCTTCCAAGGAGGACTTAATCCCCGTAATTAAGAAGTTGCACCAGAATTTAGCCCCCCCTAATAATGATTTGGTGCGTATCCTCCGCCATGGTCAGGCTTCCACAGAAGCAATCGATGTGGCTAGACAACTTTGAATGTGACTTTTGTAAAAGCATGGTGAAACCCAAGGTTCCGCTCCCAGCTCAGCCGAATCGTGTCCATGAGTTCAATCATCAAACCGGCATTGATGTTAAGAATCTCAGGGGTTGGTGGGCTACCGAATCAGAAGATTGAGGCTTTGAATATCGTGGATACGGCGAGCAGCTTTTAGAGGGCTGTCCCATTCTTTCAGCAAGAAGCCGCTGTGGTGTTGCGAAAGCTTCTGACTAATCACTGGATCGCATGGACCGGAGTCCCCAAAGAGATCATTTTAGATCCCGCTCAAACTAACCTTGGTGAAAATTTGGTAGGCCCATGTGAACTTGAAGGATCACAGATTCGCCCAATAGCTGCAGGCGCTCAATGGCAACTCGGCAAGACCGAATCCCATGGCGGTTGGTTCGCTCATGTTTTGGACGAGATCATTGAGGAACATCAACCTGAGAATCAAGAGGAGCGGCTTTTGTGTTCAGCATGCACATGTGAAGAATCAAATGATTCAAGTTCATTGTTTTTCTCCACATCAGTTCGTTTTTGGCCGTGGTGTGCACATTCCTGAAGATTTCATGAGTGAACCATCGTCAATCATCCCAGCCACTGCTTCCCTCGGGGAAGAGACATTAGCCAAAAGCCAAGCCAAGATGATCGATCGATGCGTGTAGCTCTGCTGGCTCGTCCCAGGAAGAATTTCGATTTTAAACCTGGTGGCTCCGTGGCCTATTGGCGATGTCAGAAGTGGATTCGAAGTAAGCTTCAACAAGGGGGTCGTTGGTATGGTCCAGCAATTGTCATTGGTTTAGTGCGTAGAAATCTCATAGTGATTCACCGCAAACAGCTGTTGCGTTGTGCTCCTGAACAGGTGCGGTCCTCAACCTCTGAAGAAAAGCCGTTGTCTATGACTCCTCAGGCTGAACTCTTCGGTATTAAGACGTTGGTTGAACAGGGTAACTTGCAAAGTCGAATCCTCCCAGGCAATCTGATCCCAATTTAGATGATGCCGAAATGGGGTTGGAAATGCAGAACCCGTCAGCTGGTCCTGATCAGTTTTCTTCGATTGCGCCTCCGGTCGCCGAATTCCACTGTTGAATCCACCATCCGACAATGTCCAGCTGCCTGAACGACTGATGAGTTACAGTCTGCTCCTGCCGTCCCGGGGCACAGATCCACCTGGCAGCCAAGAAACTAGCTATGGTCCCATAAGACGTAGGGAACGGGTGAGGATGGTCCCATGTCTCTGTTTCGTCCGCCAGCTATGCACCAGATGACTTTGCTGAAATCATGAAAGAAGTTGTTCCCGAACTGATTGAACAAACACTCCGTTCCGAAGAAGGTGGTTCGTCATCAGTCAAAAAAGGCCTGCTGCCGATGTTGAGCGCTCTCCATCTGATGCTGCCGAACCGGCTAGTTCCCGTGCCAGAGTAGATGAAGTTCTGAATGCCCAAGACCGCGGTAGTTTGCTTGCAATGGTTGATCAAGCTCCTTCAGAGGTGTTCATGGCTGAATACCTCAAGAAAAAGTTGGCCAAGGAGTTGCCCCATAGCCGTAACACCCTCATGCCATGAAGTTCCACTATGGGAAAGCCGCTGAACGTATCAAAAATTGCCCACAGGTTCATCGGCAGTCGTTTTGTGTTGGCCCGGAAACCCGTAGGAGAGGGCAAGGCCGTGGATCCGACTGATCACACCACCTATGTGGTCAAAGGAAGATGGTGTCTTCAGGGTCACCTAGATCCCGATCTGAAACTCAAAGCAGAAGAGGGCCTTTTGAAGTCTCCAACCCTTAGTCAAATTGGCCGTATAATGTTGATGCAGATCATCTTGTCCAAGGGCTGGGATCTCCAATTGGGAGACATCAAAGGTCCTTTTCTTGAAGCTGGTCCCCTAGACTCCTAGACCCAAAGTTTAAGCCGCTGTACGCCCACCAACCTCCAGCTTGAATTCCAAGCATACCGCCAGACGCAGTCATCGAAGTGCCAGGAAATGTATACGGACAAAACGATGCACCAGCAGCGTGGTTCAAAGAGTTTGACACCGTGGTTCAATCCCTTGGCTGGCATCAAAGTAAACTGGGTCCCTGTTTGTACACTTCCCGTGAAGGTTCACAACTGGTTGGTATCCATAGTGTGCATGTCGATGACACGGCTCTAGGAAGGTCTGGCAATTTTTTTGAAGAGACACCATTCTGCAGCTGAAACGCAGATTTCCATACAGAAAATGGAGGCAGCGAGAAGGTGAGTTTTGTGGTGCCTGGTATCGACAGTATGAAGACGGTAGTGCCCATATGTCCATGAAATCTTTTGCTGATAAAATTAATTAAGCCCATAAACTAAACATTCCTAAGAATAGCTCTCCTGATGATCTCCTTTCTGACTCACAAGTTAGAATCCTCCGTGCCGTGAATGGAAGCCTTAATTGGCTGTTGTCTCAACGCAGACCTGACCTTTCCGTGCAGACCAGCCTTAGCCAGCAAGCGTTCTCGAAACCGACCGTCCAAGACTTCCGCCGGGCAAACCAAGCCGTGCGTAGAGCCAAACTGGAGGGAGAGTTGGAAATTTATTTCAAACCCATTGATTTAGATAAGTTGACGGTTGTTTGCCATTCTGATGCTGCATGGGCTACTGAAGCCTCTCTGCAAGATGGTGCTCTTGCGACTTGGTGTCCTGCTACATGGCGTAGTTTTCGTTTGAGCAGGGCAGTCAGTAGCATCTTGGTTGCGTAATCTCAGGCGCTATCGATAGGGTCAAGCACAGTTGAATGGCTCCTCCTGCTTTTGTCCGAAACAAAGGATGGACCGTTGGAAGTTGCAAAGTGTCGTCAAGTGCTGCAAAACAGGCGTCCGATTTTGGTAACCGACTGCAAATCATTTTGCGGTCATCTTCCCAATCCTTCTTCGCCCACTTCAATGGAGGATCGTGAAAGGTGTAAACTGATGAAAGCCCATGTCCGATGGGTACCGACCAATCGCATGCTTGCTGATGCATTCACCAAAGATGTTGGGGACCCCATGGGCCTACTTCGGTCGTGTCTGACATGTGGTCTGTATCAAATCTCTGCCGAAGAAACAGTTTTGGAAAACCAAGCCATAGAAAAGAAACATCGACTTCAAAGAAGAACAAGTGCTGCTACCGAGCATGGTTCCAAATTACGTGCTTCCAGTCCGTAGTGTGATGGAACAGTTTTGACTTTTGGAGACATACGTAGCATTGGGGATTTCGTGAAATCAGTGCTGCAGGTCTCAATTCACTAATGCGTTCCACACCTGCCGAGCCGATACCCTGCGAAGCAGTAATGCCACTGTGTTAGCTTTTGTTTTTTCTGCCATTTGCCCTTCGTGTTTTTCAATTCTGTGCAACTCATGGCCTCTCTTGGCTCCGCTACCGATGATGAAGGACCTCGTGCGCCATGCTCGGGAAGAGGGCTCACTGGATATGCTGCTGGCTGAATTGACAGCTCACCATGAGATGAATTTGAGTTGATTTCTGGAGGTGATTCAGTGACAGATGCTTAGAAGCGTCGCAAGACGTGCCAGCCTGAGAAGGAAGCGGTGGTCTCCGGAGCTGATGCTTCCAAGAATGTGAGTGGCCCCCCCTTTTCCTTGCAACTGAGGTGAATCCATTTTCTTGACGATGTCTATGAATGCCGGATGCATCAAAATTTCACTTCATGGTCCTATGGGAATTTTAAATATAGGGAGTTTCATTGCATGGCTGCACGTGGCAGTTTGGACATGACAAGCATGTCTTCCAGCTGTGGGTACATATCATTGGCATGAATCGCAGGGACCTCAAATGCCCGAGAAAAGTAGCAGCGACTGAGAGCCCGCTTTCAGGTGAAGACCTTGCTGTTTCCGCTACCGGTATACTGCATATCCCCTTTTCAGCACTTTGGATAGAAAGCTGGAGACTGACAGCAACGCTGCCTGGTGTCGTAGGCGAAATCTCACGGCATGGACTCTTTACAAGCGCAGTCATCTGTTGCCTGGCTGATCAGCAATAGCAGCCCCCGGGAGTCTGTGAGATGGAATTTTCAATGATCCATGAATCGAGATTCAAGAGCCCCCAACTCGCGCGGCTCACATCTGGTCACTATTTATCATCTGCTTCGTGTCAACCATTCGGTTTCATGGTCAATTTCATGGGTTGCGGTGAAATTTCACCATGAAACTCTGTGGAACAGCCACCTTCCGGCCTTCCCTCTTTGCTGGTGGAAGCGCTTCTGGTGGCACCAATGGTTCCCAGCCTCGATACATGGATGGGGTGGATGGATGGATGGATGGATCACCCCAAAAGACTTGGGGCTGGAGCCTTCTTTCCGCATCTCCTGAGTTGCGTCTGCTTGGATAGGATGTGGCTGCAGTGGGTAAGAACGCTTTTGAAGATTTTTTTGGAAGTTAGGAAAGTCCGCAAAATCGAACTGGAATCCATGCTACATCTGAATGGCACGAAAGCTTTAGATCTGGTTTCCATCATGTAAAAACTATAGCGAGTACACAAAGCAGAACCACAGGATCCACTTTTTAAGGCTCACAAGGCTCACAATAAACCACTGTTGGAACTCGGAAGTCCTCCGGGGTCTTGGCCTTCGGAGACCAATGATGACCACGAGGCTCAGGGAGAACAGCTTCCAGAAGCTTCTGGCAGAGTCGAGATGGCGCTCTCATTGTTGGATGGGATGATTTTGGGAAAGCACCGGACAACATCAAGCATGATTATATATATATTATATATATATATTATATATATATATATATTATATATATAATGATTTTCCGGAATTTCCTACCTTGTGTATGTGCAGAAGAATGAGCAAATGATTTCCGTGATGCGGAAGAATTTGTAGGGAATCGATGGGAACCTTCTTTCTCATATTGCAATTGAGTTTATCTAATGAACCGCTACTCCACATATCCTCATTCCATCCCATGCTTTGACAAATAGTTGATCCCAAGTTGTTGTAAAATGCCATTACGTCCCCATTTTCAAACCAAGTTCTTGGGACTTGCTCGTTCTTGGGAAATTCTCTCAACCTGCCCTCCGGAGTTTAGTTGGGGGGGCAATTCGGTCAACTGTGCCAGCAAGTGAACAAGCTCCAAATGGCCTTGTTGAAATGATTCAAAGCAGGTGCCGCCCGAGCACTTGACTTACAACTTACATCCGAAGTTGAGCATATTATGTCGCATTTCAGGAAATAATGCGATTACAATCAGGGATTGTAGGTGATGTGTGGGTGACAAGATTTCTGGCCATGCCTCGAATTTGGTTGGTTTCAATTTAAATCTATGCAGTTTTACATACTATGTATATATATATATATACACATGGACATAGGTATGCTGCTGCTATTTCATCATCGCAGAACTTTCTCAGTCAATAATATTGCTCAGGAAAGTGTTCAGGTCTTCTCTTACACAATGATGAAACCATTGAAACCCACCGATTGGACAATGTAGTTTTACCACACGAAAAGTCAGGGCTTTCCCGTTGCCTGGCCTCTTCGTCCTCAGTACAAACCGCCAAACCGCTCCACTTGAAGGTCTGAAAATGTGAAGGATGAAAACGTCAAGATAAACTCTATATTATATATATCTATCTATCTATCTATCTATCTATCTATTTATTTATTTATATTTATCAAAATTGGGGTGCCCTGTTTTCAGACAAACCCACTTGTTCAACTTCTGCCATTTGCCCGGGTAACACCGCCAAGGCTTGGGCCTTCCAAATATTCAGATTGTCCTTGTCATTGTGTCCCCAGTAGCAAGGACCATACCTCACAGCGACGCAAAAAACGAAGCAATCCCTGCGAAGCTCGGCAGCTGGGGCCGAGGCTGGGAATGTTCCTTTGCGTTCTCATCGATGCCTCGAGCACGGTGTTCTGCAGGATTCTGCCCTCTATCCCACTCTCCACTACTCTCCTTTGGATTTTCTGTGCAACACCGGCATCAACCACATTCAACCACCAGCCCACCTTTGAAGTCCGTGGCACTGCACAGGTTCACATTGCAGGCAGTGAGATTTTCACCTCAAACATCCGCGATCAGTTGGCAACTGCCGAAGTTTCAAGAAGTCTGGCAGGGAAAAAACACTCAGCCACACACGCAAATGTTTCTTGTCCTGTGACCTCACTCAAACATACTCACACCATGAAGTCAAAGTCCAGGCTGGCAACCACTGATCCAGCAAATAAGCGAATTTGTCCCAGAAACGGGGAATGGTGACGATTTGCAACATATTAAGCGCAATGCTGCACCACGGTGCTGGAGTTGCGGCTTTGGTTCCACTGCATGCACACCTGCTGAGCTAAATTTTAGCTCGCATCAGGGCATAGTATCTCATCTTCACTCCTAAGATTAAACTGGGCCTGGAAGTTTGACAAACCATTGCATTCGGCCACCTGAGTGCTGCCAGTGTGTGAAGGATTCCGTCGTTCGATTCCATCGACCAAAAGAATCCCCATCTGCTGCTGGGGTTCATGCCTTCTTCAAAAAAGCATCCTGAGCAAGGCAGAATGCCCAGCGATGGTCAGTCTGCAGGGATATTTAAAGTATTTTAAAGTACTATTTACCATCCCGGACCAGTGAGTTCCGTAGAATCTCAGTGATAGACCACCAAATGAAGGAGTTCCAGGCTGGTCCCAAAGAAAAAAGAACAGCTATTCTGACATCACCAAGCATCATCCACAGGCCGATGCCCTGAGTTTTCAGGGGTCTCTTGTCCACCGAAAGGCGCGTAGCCTCAAACCAGCATGCCCCACTCTCAGGGTGTGCAGGACTAAAAATCCAGTGTGGCCTGCAGAATTGGGGGGAGCCTGAGATATGTACAGCACATTTTTTCCCAAAGGTGGAGAAATCACCAAATGATGCATCAATCTTCCACCCAGCGCCTTGGAAGGCAATGTCATGCTTCCTGCACCAGTCGCGCAGTGACCTGCCAGCAACCATTGCTGGCCAAATGCTAATAAATGGAGCTCTGCCAACTTTTCGTGGCCTGTTGGGCCAGTGCGGGTGCGATTCCCCTTGCAGAACGGCCGGGCGCACCTCGTTGATCTCAAAACCCCGCATCTCAATTGAATTCAACTGATGCCTTCCCCCTAATATTAAATACCCCCGTGGGTGTTTATACTTGCATTTATATAGTAATTATTGGATTTGGGATGCCCATATAGGGGGTATTGGATCTTCGGAGGACTGCCAGTTGAACTTTGTCGCCGCCGGCTGAGTGCCCCACGGTGCAATACTTCAGAAGCGCCTGCAGCGAAGTGTGTAGCAAACACGCCACAGAACCCAACCCTGGGATGGTAGCAGTTGGTGGCAGTCATCCCCCGGCATCGCAAAGGCCTCCATATGTTGGATGGTGCAGTTGCTGACCCCAATGGCCTTGGCCTTCCCTGACTTGCAAATCCTCAAATCGCGCGCGAAAAGCATCTAAAAGCAAGATTGCTGCAGCCAATGATCTTTCAAAAGTTCATTGTTGTCACCGTCTCTTTATGATCTTCCTATACCTATATTCAATGGTGGACCAGAAGTGATCATACCAGAATTTTCCCTCGACATGTCTCTACTCCTCTCTATCCCCAACATTCCCTAACTCCATCTCTTTTTGTCTGTTTCATATGTTTCATATGTTTCATTCTTTGTCAGTCAACATTGTCATCCACCACCACTGGGTACCTCAGGCTGCTAAGATCTGCTAAGCTACCGGCTCCTCCATTGCTGCCCACGTCCCTTGGAGCTGACCAGCTTGCCACTGGTTCACCCTTTCGTCGTTGTGCGACAGAAGAAAAATGTCAGAAAAAAGCTCATCACTCTCCGAAGAGACTTGCCCAATGCTGCTAGTACAAATCATAAAATTGCAGTTTTATTTTTGTTACACCGAAGTTCAGCGTAGTCATTAGCGAGTTGGATCCAGCGAGTGCTTTGCACAGGCTTGAAGCTGGCGGTCACAGTTCTCAAGACCATTCACGAGGGAGGTGAATGCCCAAACCACGACCAAGACAGCATGCACATCATGAATTATTTGCGACAGACAAAACCTAGTGCATCATGCTGGGCAGGTTCATCCATGGTGTCGGCCCCAGCAGTGGTGCACCAGGGGCTCCCCAGGCCGTCGCATTGGATGGGCACATGCTACCCACCTGAGGCGCCTGACAGAATCCCAAGTGAGAAGGTGCTGTGAGTTGCGGCGGTGGCACCGCTGGAAGTGGCTGCAGTTGGGGGAAAGGTGCCACTGCTGTCACTGCCAGGGGCTCCTGAAGCAGATCACCATCACCATTGCTTTGAACCGGCCCATGCAACCTATCAAACCTCAGGTCCTCTACGCCACCAGCTCCTTGGGCCTGATATCTCGCCCACACGTCACTGATGGGCGACTTGGAGGTATCCACCTTGAAAAAGTCCACCCCTTCAGGGGCACCCGGGGGCACAGCTGGACCCACCTGTCGCAGCGGGTTCTCCATGGCCACCACCGGCACCGGCGCCGGTGGCACCGGCGCCACCGGAGCCGCTGGCTGCGCCCGCAGACTCTCGATCTCCGCAGCGCGGCGCCGGATCTCCTCCACGCGGTTCGGCCGCGGCTCGGCGGCTTCGGCGCCTGAAGCGCGAAGCCAATACACCGGCGATCGTGACTATCGTGATACATTTTGCGAAAATCGTGGAACATCGTAATTTTCCAAGGCTCGGAAAGCTACCATGAAAGCTACCATCACCCCCAAACCCCCAAGCCTGGAAAGTTTCGAGGGCCACCTGGATAAGCAATGCCTGGCACCTTCACCGGAGTATAGCCACTAGATCCTGCAGGCCTATCTTCAGATCCATCGGGACCACTTTGGCAGAGGAAGGTGCTATCTGGAGGGGACTTGGCCTGGATATCGTGGAAACCTCAATGGCCAAAGTTGCCACCCAATTTCCTTGACCCCTGGAAACCTGAATGTAAAACAAAGCAGCATATTACAATCCTACTCTTCAACAACTCTGCTTCCACGGGGGACTGAATCAACAAAAACGGCACCGCCGCCGCCGCCAATCCTCTTGAGCCTGCCCGAAACACCTCTACAAGCTACCCACGACTAAATGTGAAATTCTATGATTCTATGACTCTGACGTATCCAAGCCCCAACACCAACATGAAAACATCCCTTGAAAATTCTGCTATCTACATTCCAATGCCACGCAGTCGGGAGTTCAACTTCGCTGCCGGTCCATCCATGGCCATGACCTTCACCTTGGAATTTTCGGGTCTCCACAGCGTCACCGGAGCCACCGGAGCCACCGGTGCCACTGGCGCCACCGGTGTTGGCACCTCAGTCGCAGATCCACTCTGCACATCCTTCAGGGTCTCCCAGCTGGAATCGCTCTGCACATCCTTCAGGATCTCCTGTAAACTCTTCATCAACTCGCCGTGCCGGTGCTGCAAACCTCGAACTTTGGCCGTGGATTGCTTTTTCAGCTGCTCCGGAGTCAGCTTGGAGCTGGCTGAAGCCGCACCAGATTTGGCACCTTTGGAGCTGAAGCTACGAAGTCGTTCCATGGCTCCTAAGATAGGCAGCTGCGGTTGGTGACCGACAGAGGTGCGACATGCAGTAACATACAGATGAAAAATATGCATTGCATTACCAGATTTTGAATGATCTTGGTAAGTCCATGTTCGATCTGCTGCTTACTTCTCACTTCCACCTACTCTCGTGTCCTTCGTGCACTTGCTCCAAACTTCCGCACCGCTCGGCTAGCACAGCCAAACTCCCTTGCAACTCGGCCACTCTTCGCTGACATGCTTGCACCTTGCAGGCTAGGCAATCGGGACACTCGCACGCGGTGTGTAAACGACAACAAGTAGTTTGTGTTTGTCTCCACTGGGTTTTAATCAACAAGAGAATGGCGATAAAACCAAGAATGTTCCCCATTATTGATCATTATTGTACATTGGACACCAATTAGGAATTAGATGGAGTTAGAAGGCCTACAGTGTAGGAATTTCCTGCACCCGCCTGAGACATGATGCTTCGGCCCCAGGTTTTGCTTGCACTTTTTCAGGTCATCCAATGCAGCATCTGTCAGACATGGCGTAGTCAGCAGGGGAGGCATGTTTCCATGGCCGCTAGAACAGCTGAAAAGAACTCTGCTCTCAAAGGCTCTTGTTGTGCGCTGAAGCTTTGTGGTGTCCCTTTCTGGCATGCCACAAAATTTGGCAGAATTTCGTGCAAAAGGCAATTGGCTCTTCAACTGATAGGTCATGGTCTGCCTTCTTTTTGCGTTGCTTTTGTTTCTGATGCTTGCATCCCCATGGCACCGCAGAAGCAAGCAACGCTCAGGTTTCACGCAGAAATCGCACATGCAGAAAACAAGCTCTGCGGACAAGATCTGCAGTGGAAATTGCAGGATGTCCGCATTGAAAAAGCCTTCTCCACTGCATTGGTCCCCATTCCTTTTGCTCTTGTCGCCAGACATGCGGCCTTGGCGAGCAGCTCCGGGGTAGCAGCCTTTTAGAGTCACTGTCTGTCTCGGCGTTTTCAAGGCTATGGCCACTGCACCAAAAGCAAGTCCACCTCAGCGATCATTGCAACGTCTTCTTACCTGATGTTACCTCTATATATACTGAATTCAGTGAAATCTGAAGTTCTAGTCCCGCGTCTCAATCCAACATCCATATGGTGCTACTTCAAATTGGAGCTGGCACTCAGAAGACAAGCATTTAGATCATGTCTCATCCTAATAGCAGTTCTCGGAGGGAATTGAAGAACCTTCTACACAAAACACCCATGGATTTCCAAGGCTGCAACATAGTCACTTTGAAGCTGCTGGAGCTGCCTGACAGGTGCAAAAACTGTGAGATTCTTGGCCTTGAGCCTGGTGACTTCACATAAAGGCGGATGGTTTTTCAGGTGTTTTTTCCACACTTTTTGGTTGGGAAATGTTGGGAAGAGCCTGGCAAATGAAGACTTTGTAGCTTCATAACCTCACGTCAAACGTGGTCATGAAAAATCTGCACAGCTTCTTCGAAAAGTTGGCTATCAATGGATCAAAAATTGACGCGGACAAATGCGCAGGGATACAAATAGGGGTCCATTGAGGGCGATGACTAAAGGCTCACTATCACTAAAACCGACATCCTTTGGTCCTGATGTCCTGACACTTGTTTGGCGCACTCAGCGCTCTGCCATGGCTCCAGGGTGGGATTTTCATGGTGAGGAAGAGCTCCCTCCTCTCCAAAGTGGACGCCTTGCCTCGCTGGAGCAGTGGAGCAGTGGAGCAGTGGAGGTCTCGCCAATCCGCAGCAATTCAACTGGGGGTCTCTCATGAGACTCTCATCTCCCCCATCGTAGTTGTCCCATTTTATTGTTGCGTCATGTCTTCGAGTCTTCCCACAGCTGGAAATTGTAAAACATCAACCAGCTATTGACTGCGGGAGCGTTCGGATGCTCAGAGTCTGGCAGGCCCAGCCGACGTCAAACAAATTCCTGGAGCGGTGCACATGGAAGGGAAGCGACCATGTGAGTCATGCCCATGAAGATATATGATGTTCCAAGTTCCAACTGCTCAGCCAAACCTGGATAGTCAGGCCATCAATGGTAGTTAATGGTAGTCCTGTTCATTTCAGAGGTGTCAATCCCGCGATATCCCATCTTCAAAGCGTTGAGAATTGCAGCCTTAGCCGGCACTAGATTCTGGGCAGGTGCCGACCCCCGAAACCCTGCACCAAGTGACCTGTTCCAAGTTGAGACTGTGCCCTGCCGAAACCCCAAAAAAAAAGTAACAATGATAACAATGGTAGTAATAATACGAATAATAACAATAATAGTAAGAATGATGATGATAAGAATAAATATAAAAAATAAAAAAGATATAAAAAATAACAATAACAATAATAACAAACAATAGTAATATATATATATATGATTATACATATATATATACATATAATAGTATACAATAATTTATTGGTCATCCCCAACCCAAAGTCTGAGGCTCCGAACCCTGCCCCTTTTTCCTTGCAAGCCCCTTTGTCCAGCAGTGCCCAAGATGACGCAAGGCATCTTCACCTCCCTAACCTCGGTCAGCTCAAATTCCGATGGATTTCTCCAGAAATCGGGGGGGAACAGCAATGAAAAACCCTGCAACCCCGGCTTAATGGCTTAATGGCCAATTGAATCGTGAAATATGAGGATATATGGGGACATATTCGGACATTTATTGATAAACATATGATAAACATATGATAAACATATGATAAACATATGATAAACCACTGGATGATTTGGGGTGCGTAATCTATTCGACTTTGTCCTTAAATGGTACGCTGCGACTCCCGAGATCCGCACGGAAGACAGCGAGATGTAGTCAGCGACACGCCTTATTGGAACCCCAATAAGAGAAACCCTTAGTTGTGAGACGACAGCCAAGGGATCCACCAAGGGATCCACCCTGTCCAAGTTCGGAAGAAGTTAGAGACATCCGCTTGGTGGTAACATGTGGTAACATAAGCGCCCGCACATATGGGACCCCGCCACTGCATTCTGTGAGGGTATTTATGCTTAGAGTGAAGGCCTTGTCCTATGCATTGCACATGGTCGCAGAGTCTGATGAACGAGTGGCACTCCACTTTTTGCACCTCCAACCTCTGTGGGTTGTGACCGTCTGATCTGTCCGGCTGGGCGAATCTTTCGCCAATTGTGCTCAGAACAGGCTCCACAGGGCACTTGCCTTGGCAGATCTTGACAAAAGAGGACACCCTGGGGAATCCAACATGGAAACCCAAAAATTGGCAGCTCATGGCATTTTCAAACGGAAATCCATCTTCCTCACCCGCTTTTTAGGTTTTCTGTAGATGGTGATTAGTTTTTCGGAGGCCATGCGGAAAACCCAATGATAATCCTTGAATTTAGAATGGGTTTTATCATTTTGTACTTCCCATTTCTGCTAGAATTGGGGATGATCTATGATTTTGGGTTTGCCAAATTAGGTGCCATTCGTAGCTTCTGGAATTTCGCCTCCATCTTTGATGCCAAAGGACACCGATGGAGCCAATGGCGAGGTGTCGGGCTGCTGATTTCGCACCCTCTGCACCTAGCAGCTCCGCCGATGGCTGACAGCACCATCCCCGGGAGTAGATTCTCTACCTATCAGATATCAAGAATGGCATAATGGAGATCTTCCATGGCTACGCTAAATTACCAGAGGGTATAGCCAAATCAAAATCTGGATGTAGCTAGTGGAACCAACAATAAATGGGACTGGGACAAAAATCTCACAACCGGACCCACAGAATCTCCTGTTAAATCTCAGGTGTCCAAGTTTTGACCCATACCATCCCATACCCACATGGACATGTCTCCATCGCTTGCAATCTGTGAATCGCCCGCTCTGCCCGATCACCTTGTTCCTCAATGCTGCTTGGCAAAGTCTCCAGCTTCCTTCTCTGCTCCTGTCAAGCGAAAAGCCTTCCATAAGAATTCCTGATCGTAAATCATCCTGCCCCTACTGCCTCAACCATAAAAACATCTCATGTTTGTTCCATTTCCTTTCCAGCAATTTTACCATGGCTGTTCAAACCACAAAGGCCAAGGCGCCTTTGAAACTGGGCTGTGGAGCTTTGCCTGCGGAGCAAGGAGCAAACTACGAAGCCAAAACACAAAAACACAAGAAGAGACTCATGACTCAGCCACATGCCTCAGCTAATATACTATTAATTATATTAATTTTTAGTCACTTTACGTCGCTGGCGACTTAAGGATAACCAAAAGCTGTCAAACCTCATTTGTGGCCCTGGCATTCCTCTCTTTGTTTCCACCCCCTGGTACTCCAAACCGCTGATGGCCTGCTTCTGCGCCGTTTCCACCATAGCACCTTCAGTAGTTGCCTTGGCCTTGCCGTCCGTAACCGCCGTGGGCACAGCATCCTGGGCTTGCCGTGAACCGTGAATACACCTTGAAACTGTGGGGATGCTGATGAATCCTTTGCGTTCCCAATTGGAGCACATCTAGTTACTTCTACCCAACTGTGGCAGCATTTAACAATATAATCAATGCTTTTGGCCCATCACCCGCCTCAATAGATGCATTTGTCAGGGCATCGACACTGGCGCCTTGTGTCTTCGCATGTGGCACATGTTTGGGGGGATGGATGGTGCCCAAGACTGAGTATATAAAAGAAGCTTCCATAGGACAATACAGAAATAGTTGTTCCAAGGCCTGCGGTCCCTGAAACTTCCACTGTTTCGACCAGAGTACATATGGTAGGCCACAATCGTGGGCCCCAACTGGATTTGGTTGAGGCCAAACATCTCCATGTTCGGCTAGATCAACAGTTTTTGAGTATTCATCCTCTACTCAAACATCCCCAATGTTTGATATTTGGCCAGTACGCCGACATTTTGACACATCGCCCGCATCTGCACCGCACCTAGCACATCGATGTTGCCATCGGTGGTCACTGGTAAGACCGTCACGCTTAGGCTCACAGCCTCAGCTGTGGTCCCTTCGATTTTAGTTATTTACTCAGTTTACTCATGTTTGTTGGAAATGTATTGTGTATGGAAATGTTATCTCTGTTTTGAGTGCACGTGGTTGGTGAGTGGTTGTAAAACCAGATTTGTTACCCAATGCTTGGGTATTTGTTGATCCCCTTCTTTGAGGTCCATCGGTGCTGGTGTTGTGCTGATTGTTGCACAACCTGCGGTTTATTGAAATGTGAAGTTTTAATTTCAGTGAATATGGCAGGAGAAATCTCCAAAGTTCATCAAAGTTTCTGGTTACATCCACACACGCACTGCTTTAAGCCCATGTATTTTTGGTCAAATCTCCATAGAGCTGTGCCCAATTCAAAGTGCTTAATATCCTGCTGTCCACAAAAACGGGAAGAGATTAATTATGACCAATGTAGGAAACCCATGTGCATAGTAAATAATGTACTATTACGGTAGGAATGCATGTCATAGAATCATAGTAATTATAACCAATGTTCAACAATATAACGGAGCACAACCACCACGACCCACCGGCTTACCACAGCTTCCACCAACGGTCAAGCGTCTCGAAGGGTGAAAGTCAGACCTTGCCCCAGCACCTAGGCACTCACCATGCCTAGTGTATGAAGCCCTCGGAAAGGATCGAACCTGTTTTTGTCATATGCCATGATGGCAAGTTCAAAAGGAAAAGGAAGGAACTGGCAATGACCACGGGATTTGGGGCTTTTGACAAACACAGACGTCGACCGTCGATTTCCGGTGCCTGGTCTCGGACCTCCGTGGTGACCGTGTCAATGTCCTTGGCTTCACTGTGACTGCAGTGCAGTGGCTCCCCCGAAGTCTGGAAGACCTTCCTCAACAGATCCTTTGAAGAAAAATGCCAAAAAAAGACTCACCGGCAACGGTCTCTGAAACCGGGAGAAGCTCACTTCCATTCAGTCCAGCCTACCGAACGACTCAATTTCTGGGTTGTTATGTTGAAACCCAAAGCCCCAACCTTCAAATCCTCGCAGCTATGGCAGCTATGGCTCGGAGGAAGAGATGCGAGAGGCCAACAGAGAAGCATTTCCTTTATTTTCATCCTGCTTGTACACCTCAGCTGGCAGCTGGATGCAGCTGGCCGTCACTGAGGCTGTGATCAGTGAATCATCATCATCCTGCCTCGACCATGTAGGCCACGTTTACCTGAGACTGTGGAGGTGGTTGAACATGTTGTTCCCTGCGAATCTGATGATCCACACAAAGTACCCTGTAGTCAAATATGGCAATGGACAATCGCCATTAGAATCCCATTTTTTTTGGGATTTCACATTTTCATGTGTGTAATGGTCAAAACATGGTATGTGTTTTATGGTCATCCATAAACCACAATGGGAATGCTTATCATGGGGATGTACAGTAAATCCCTATGACTGGATTGATGACTATCGCCCAATTATGGGTACACATCTAACTTTGACGGGGGACATGCGGACAATGCCACGCTCCCTGGCTACGGAAAGGTATATATACATGTTCTCTTTTTGGGGGACCGGGGGACCCCCTTTCTGTTCGTCATCACCAGACTGCATGCAGCAGGGCCACGTTCCCCTTCACTTTCCGCTGCCAGGTCGACAAAAGCATGCCCTCACCGATGGGTCAACGGATGGTTGCAGCTGCCAGAAGCCCCTGTTGACTGGAAAATATTCCATTTGAACCATTCAAAAAATCATGGATGTACTGGGGTGATCATTCTATATATATATATTATATATATATACAGTACATTTTAAACATGATTCCATCATGTTAAGCTCCGTTGCGAACTTCGGTGCTGTCCTGAGGGATGGTGATGTCCACCTTGACATCCGACGCCTTTGCACCGGCGAGGACTGCAATGGCTTTCTCCATGGCCACCTGGGCGACGGGTTCAGTTCCCAGATGTTCCCAGTGGGTTCCCCCCTGGGGCAATGGGGATCAACCCTTGGGATCCCTTGGGCGGGTCAAAAGCCATGGATTTATGGTCATTTCACGAAGAAAATCATGGACATTTTAGATGTGGTGAGATCTGAAACGTCTTAAACCATTGGATTTCGGGTTGACATAAACACCAATGTCGCCAAAGATGGGGGAAGAAAAAAAAGTGCCTGCGGACTCACCTGACTCTTGCAGCCAAAGAGCGGTCACATTCTTGTTTGCAACCTTAGGTTCACGGAAAATCCAACCGTGTTCCAAGCCAGCCCGGGGTCAATAAGTGCCAACAATCCATCAAGCCACCAAGGGAAGTCACCACCCGCCCATCCATCCTCCAACCCTCAGTTGTCTCTAGGTCAGGCGACGAACTCGTCGGCCTCAATGACATCAAGCCCCAAATCACCGGCTACTTCAGCTACCACGTCCTTTCCATCCTGTGCTGCCAAAAGGTGCTGGGACAGCTCTCGACATGGATGGTGAGATATCACTGAGATATCACTGAGATATCACTGAGATATCACTGAGATATCCCATTTTAACATCACGCAACCCTTGCTGGATGATTTTCACCAACCAATTGAGTCGGTGGTGTTTTTTTCTTGGACGGGGGTCCATACTGACTGGAGCTTCGACGGTCTTTTTATGTCACCAGAACCAGATCAACCAGTCACGGTGAATAAAAAAACAGCTTCACTAAGGAAGCCTAGCCCTAGATGGCCCTAGCACAATCAGTTCGTTGGGATCGTCATGGATGAAGGGATATCACTGATATCACTGATATCACAACGCGAAGGTGAAACCCAGTCGTTCTCTTTTATGGACTCATCATGAAAGAGTTTTTTCAAGCAGGAGCACAGCATAGCGCAGCATATTACAAGCACTCGATATGATCCACTTTGGTAGTGCCCAAAGTCCAAAAGTCAAAGCTGAAGCCCCACGAGCCTTCAATTTGTTCGCACTAGCCTCAAAGGCATCCGCAAAGTCTTTCCTCAGATGGAGGGGAGAGGCTCAGTTTCAGAAAATAGATGGCCTCTCTCCATCCTCCGCAACGATTTTCATCATGTTTTCGTGTTTTTGTTTGGGTTTCAAAAAAATAAAGGTACCATTTCCCCAAAAAAAAACCTTGGACATCCATCCCAACCCTATCCCAACCCGCCCCAGCCATCTCCGAGGTGCGAGGAGTCGGTATCGGGTTGGCTCTTCGCAACCACCGTGAGGTTGTTGATATCGAAGGCCTTGGCCGCCTGCGCAGCGTCAAGGCCCAGATTCTGCGCATCTGGTGCTGCCTTGGTGCGGGGTGTCCTGAAGGGTGTGGAAAAATCACGGGGAAAACACCGAAATCCTATGCCCATGTCCTAAATCCTATTTTCAGACAACAGTGGAGTCAATTTGTCAAGCAGCAGATTGTGCCATTAGAAGGTTTTGAAAGGCTAAGTCACAGGTGTTTTGGTTGCATAGCAAATTCATCAATGATTCAGTTAAGAACGGTAACCGTCGGTAACCCCAAAACCAAAACTTGCTGCATGCTAGCCCAAGGCACCCCAGACATGTTGCTGATGAGTTCATCAATGACTTTCACTGCATCTGCTTCTGAGGCATTTAAGTCCTTGGAGAAGCCACAAGTTTCTTCAGCCTGAATAATTCATCCACAGCTCATCATGAAAGATGGAATCGCAAGGAGTCCTCCTCCAAAAGGGTTGGATTAAACTGATTAAACCAGAGGGTGCAAAAAATATCTAATGCACGACATATTATGCACAGAGACACAGCAAATGTATTTGTCCGGGCACGCAGCAAGCCAAACGTTGGGGTCCCGCACACCACCTTGCTTCTTCATGCTCTCGAAGGCCTCAAGAGTCTTGTTCAGCTCTCCAGCTTTGCAGGGCTTGTAGGCCTTGCCCTTGTAGCTGGGATCTTTGCCTCGGAAAAAGGCTGCATCCAACTCCAACCACTGGCGTTTCTGGTTGCTTCGGAATTCTCTATATAATCCTCTAATCCAAAATCCCAATTCACAGATGAAAAATAGATGTCGTCTCCTGGGTCAACATCTAAAATTGAGCTGCCACTGTGGCTCGTTCGCTTGGATTTCCGCTCTCGGACCCCTGGCACTGTCATACTTTCATGTTAAACTTCTACCCACAAAGTTTTTCCAGTCAACTCTGGCCCTCAACCCTCATGAAACTCGTCAGGCCACTCTCTGTGAAGGTCTTGGACAGCACCTCATGGGAAGGTACAGCCAAAGGTCCACGGCTGGCCTGGCACAAATTGGCACATGTCTACCGTCGCGCTTCCCCAAATTGGCGCACAAAGTCACCATAATTGTAGAGGTTCACTGAAGTTCACTCCAACCCCCAAACAAAATTTTAGTAGGTCGAAAATTCTGAACCTGACCCTTTCCATATTTTCCATGGTGATTCGCAGAAGTTTCTGTCCTCGGCATCGGTCCCACCTGCGGCTCCCAGACATTGTGCAGATGGCTCCAGGCCAATTGACCCTCTGGAAGCTGCAGCACTGCCAACTGGGCGATGGCTCGGGTCGGGTAGAAAGCCTGGTGGCCCTATGGCCGTTGCATGACTTACATAATTTATATAAGCTTAATAAGCTTATATAAATTTATATAATCTTAGAATCTTATATAACCTCCAGCCTGCTAGGACCTGCTAGGAATAGAAATTGCATATTCACAAATTTCCAGGGAAGTTCTAGTGCCAGGCTTGTGTACCAAGTGGTCAGGCTAGGGCCCCAACTGAGGTGGTGGTACTCGTTGTAGGCTTCGGGCAGTTGGGTGACTCTGGGTTGTTGCATTCACCCACCTCCCACATCACATCTTGACATGGCGCTCCTCGTGTGACTCAAGGAACGACCAATGCAATCCCATGCAAGGATCCGAACGAAAGAGAAATCCAGTGCTACAAACGAGGCTTCTGGAAGTGTGAAATGAATCGAAGCCTTGCTACCACTTGATACTGAGATTCATTTAGACAGAGGAATACGCCATCAATTTTAGAGCTGAAACGAAAACTTGAAATGACAACTCACACCTTGCCCCTTTCCCTTTCTCCTCCATACAATTCCTCCTTCTTCACCCGTGTGCGGAAGCGGGATCCCATGCCACAACTGGTGGAGCATTCACCCCAACTCTCCCATAACTCGAAGGTGCAGTCGACGGGACATGGATCGGTGTTGCACTTCTCCATGTCCGTGGCATTACCCAGGCAGGGCAATCCACCATTGGAGGATTCCTAGGGATATCCGGCCACAAACAATGTACTGTAGAGATTCCCCATGTTTGGTGGATTTGTATTGCTGTCAGGAAATGAAAAGATATGAAAAGGGTGTTTTAAAACATCGCCAGATCCAGGAGTCCCATTTCTTGTTGCGCAGTTTCGTGCGAGTTCCACCATTGCAGCTCTTGCTACATGGGCTCCAGAGCTCCCAGTCGTTCCACTCACAATTGATGGTGCACACGTCAAAATTGCAGCCGGCCTCTTGGGCATTGGAGCCGAAACATGGATCACCCCCAAAGTCCTTCTCCACGATCACCTCTCTGAACCTCTTGATGGAGCCACCTCCACACTCCTTGGAGCAGCCTGTCCATGCAGACCATGGCCCCCATTCACAATCTTGAGGACAGCCCCGGGTGTTGCAAGGTGTGGAGTCCGTATCGTTGCCATCGCAGGGGCTGCCCCCATACATCTGCCCAATACGTGGCCGGGTGCGAAGCATCTCGCCCCCTCCACAGGTTTTGGAGCAAACCGAATAGTGAGACCAGTCGCCCCAGGTGCAATCCTCTGGGCATGGCCTTAGAAAACCAATGCCAAGTGGATCCAAGTGGAATGGTCAATGGCAAAAAACTCATTTTGCACATTAGAATTTGACTTGTGCAGGCGAGAGACTGCTCATTGCAATACTCACTCTTCATGATGCCTCCATCACAGGGCTGGCCGCCCCACTGCGGAGCTGTAATCAGTGGCCGGCCTGCTGTCCTGCGCGAAAGGTGCTTGAGATACACCCTACCAACCATCGCAACAGGTAGAAAAATAGTTCGTAAATTATCCGATTATCTGTTTATCCATCTTGGTTATGGGTTATGGGTGGTCACCATGTTTCTTGGGATCAACTGATCAACCAGTTGGGTCATGGGTCAAGAGCCCCTAGACATCGGCAGTCGCTCCTGTTCCCGGAGTCACAGCTCTTTGAGCAGTCGCTCCACTCGGACCAATCGCCAAATTTGCAGTCCACCGGACAGCCGTGGGCATTGCAAACCATCTCCTGGAAAAACCCAATAGTTGAATGATCACCTGGGGGGGTATTGACCACTGAATGGATTGAGGAGAAAAATAGATGTATAGGTATAGGTATGTGTGTATATATATATATGTGTGTGTGTGCGTGTGTGATATGATATGATACGATACGATACGATACGATATGATACGATACGATACGATACGATATGATACGATACGATACGATATGATATGATATGTGTGTGTAATGTATATATCACGCACAACAAAGTTCAATGATGGATATCTCACCAGAAATTTCAAACCTCGGTCCTCATCAGCTGAACCTTCACACTGTTTGCCTCCATACTCGGCCACAATCACTTCCGAGCGGTGGCGATAGGTCACACCTCCTTCACATTCTTTGGTGCATGTGCTCCATTCGCTCCAATGTCCCCATACGCAGTGGATAGGGCAGGATACCTCCTCACATGCTGTGCTCTGCAGCAGGTCGCTGGTATTGCAGGCAACACCTCCATGGGCCGCCACCACCAGGATTTGTCGGGTTCGCAGCTCTACCCCACCGCCACAACTGGATGAGCATTCAGACCATTTGGTCCAGCTGCCCAACAAACAGTCCACTGGACACGGGTCGGACTCACAGACCTGCGAGAGTCTCAGCCGGAAGGGGTGGATCAAGAAAAGGAATACCTGGGCTGCCTACATGAGGCCTCAAATCTTCAAGAAGCAAGTTTGACAAAGGTGGGGATTGATGAAAACCAGTTCAAGTAGTCGCTGGCCGGTAAAGCCTCTGCAAGGTCATCATATTTGGCAGAAACGTACCCTGAAAAACAAATACTATTGAATGATATATAATGGGGGTCCCCCCGCTGCCTTCTCATCGTCCTCATATCCGTAGCACGTGTGTCCGCCATCTTTCTCGTAGACCTTTCGGATTCGGCTTCTCTTCATACTGCCTTTGCCACAAGTCGTGGAGCAGCTCTCCCACTGAGACCAATCATCCCACTCACAATCTACGGGGCAGGCTGGTAGGTCTGGACATGCCTCTGTTTCCTTACCATCACCAGTACAGTCTGCACCCCCATTCTGAGCCAAGACCGTCTTTTCCCGGGTTCGGGAGTGCTGTCCTGTACCACAGGATGATGTACAGCTTCCATAAGCCGACCACTCTGACCATTGGCATTGGACTGGGCAGCCCGCTTGATCACAGCTGGTGGTGTCGGTGCTAGTTCCATTGCAGGCGTTGCCACCATAGAGCGGGTGAACCTTGATTTCCCGGCTGCGGCTGAGGGAGCCATCCCCGCAGGTGGTACTGCATTGACTCCATTGGGTCCATTCATCCCACTGGCAGTGGATGGGGCAAAAAGCCGCGTTGCAGGCTCGGTTTTGCTGACTACCTCCAGCACACTCCCTGCCACCATGAAGCATTGGAGTCTGCACCAAGCGCATGCGGTAGCTGGTGCCGTTGGCACAGGTCGTGGAACACCCGCGCCAATCCTGCCAGTCAGCCCACTGACAATCCACTGGGCAAATGTCGCTGGTGCAATACTTCTTCTGGTATGACTCCTCCGCACAGTCTCTTCCACCGTACTGAGCTGGAGTTGACATGGAACGCTCCCGCTCGGAAATGCCTGGGCCACAGGATGTACTGCACTCAGACCACTGGCTCCACTCGGACAGCTTGCAGTCAACGGGGCATTGCATCCTGCCGGGTTGAAAGGATCTGCACCAAAAACCGGCTTAAGTAAATAGGACGGATCAAAGAACATCTACATAACAACTATCTAACAACAACCTTGTTGACCTCTACCTTCATAGAATTAGAAAAATCTGGATTCAACACCAAGGCTTTTAAAGAACGTTCAAAGAAAAAACCTAGAAGTGTCCTGCTGCATCCAATGGTCTGCTCCAAGTCGCCATCACAAGCATTACCGAGGGCATTGTTGTCTTGGACGACCTTGCGGGTTCGCTTAGAGACTCCAATGGAATTCTCCGAGCTACACGTCAGGCTGCAATCGCTCCACTGAGACCAATCAGACACTTCCTGGGCGCACTTGCGCGCGTTTTCATGGAAAATGAAGTTCCCAAAAAATGGAGACTCTGAAAAAATGAAAAATGAAAAACAAACAGTGAAAAAAAAAAACTCTAAATTCGCATCTCCAAGCTTCACAATGGACCGGACACAAGCCATTATGGCAGGTACCCTCCTCAGTGGTTGGGCCACAGGTTTCTCCCCCATAGGTGGGATGCGTTAGCACCTTCCGAGATCGACGGGTGGCACCAGTGCCACAGGTGACATCGCAGGGTTCCCAGGCGCCCCAATCTTCCATGACGCAGTCCACAGGGCAGGAGTTCATTCCGCACTTCTCAGTTTGGAAGTTCTCTCCAGTACCTTAGATCTGAAGTGGGTGGCTATCAAATTTGTGAGACATACCAGTAGTACCGCACAAGGTGGTGGCGGAAGTTTCAAAAATAGGAAACCTACAGGAGAGATTGGCTGTTGTGAATCAGGGATGGCAGAGCGAATCCACTGATGGACCGAAAGGTGCAAGAGGTCTCCTCTCTTTCTCTCTCTTTCTCTGACTATCTACTTACCTACCAGCCTATCTTCTATGTATCTATCTATCTATCTATCTATCGATCGATCGATCGATCTATCTATCTCTCTCTCCCTCTCTCTCTTTCATCTGCCTATCTGTCTAGCTGTCTACCTGTCTATCCATCTATCTATCTGTCTATCTGTCTACCTGTCTATCTGTGGTGCAGTGTCATTCAGTGTATTGTAGTGTAATGTAGTGTAGTGTAGTGGAGTGTAGTGGAATGTAGTGTAGTGTAGTGTAGTGTAATGTAGTGTAGTGTAATTTCGTGTAGTGGAGTGTAGTTGTGTAGTTGTAGTTGTAGTGTAGTGGAGTGCAGTGTAATGTAGTGAAGTGTAGCGGAAGGTAGTGCAGTGTAGTGTAATGTAGTGTAGTGTAGTGGAGTGTAGTGTAATGTAGTGTAGTGTAGTGTAATTTAGTGTAGTGGAGTGTAGTGGAGTGTAGTGGAGTGTAGTGGAGTGTAGTTGTGTAGTTGTAGTTGTAGTGTTGTGTAATGTAGTGTAGTGTAGTGGAGTGTAGAGTAGTGTAATGTAGTGTAGTGAAGCGAAGTGACATCTGAACCTCCAAAAGTGGTCCAAAGCCCTGGTGCTTTTAACATTTTGACTTCGAAATGTGCTTCGCGCCACAACCGCGTGCACTTTTTCGACATCTGAACCTCCAAAAGTGGTCCGAATCCCTAGTGTTTTGAACATTTTGACTTCGAAATGTGCTTCGCGCAACAACGGCGTGCACTTTTTCGACATCTCAACTGCTAAAAGTGGTCCGAGAATGGTGTGTTTTGAACATTTTGACTTGGAAATGTGCTTCGCGCCACAACGGCGTGCACCTTTTCGACATCTCAACTTCCAAAAGTGGTCCGAGAATGGTGTGTTTTGTACATTTTGACTTGGAAATGTGCTTCGCGCCACAACGGCGTGCACTTTTTCGACATCTCAACTTCCAAAAGTGGTCCGAGAATGGTGTGCTTTGTACATTTTGACTTGGAAATGTGTTTCGCGCCACAACGGCGTGCACTTTTTCGACATCTCAACTTCCAAAAGTGGTCCGACAATGGTGTGTTTTGTACATTTTGACTTGGAAATGTGCTTCGCGCCACAACGGCGTGCAATTTTTCATCTCTCATCTGGCCAGCTGGCGCCGCACCCGCCGCTTTAGCGAGCCTACTTATTGGAAAAACACAGTGTCTCGCGACTTTCCTACCTTTTCGCGCATCTGCATCTTTTTTCTTCTTACTCTTTCTCTTCTACTCTTCTTTCTTCTAATCTTTCTCTTCTCTCTGCCTCTTCCCTGCTCTGCTTTTCATCTGTCCATATTGTCGGAAGTTTGACTTCTAAACTTCCTTCGATCAACACATACCTGTGAGGAAAAGACCCTGACTGGGTAGTTGTAACGCCTTTAAACGTTGAATTTAAAACACGTCACGATTTGCCTTTGTTTGGGCTAAACTGCTCAACGATTTTGACCACTCCATCCTTTGAGTCACCGAACTCTGGGACCCCCGGCAATCCTCCCCGAAGGCGTTTTTGACTTGGGCATACGTTCGGTATCTCGACGAAGCGCCAGTGCCACAGGACTTGGAACAGCCTGGTGGCCAGTGTCATTCCTGCTGTGGGAGCCCTTCTTAAGATGGATGGGGAGGAAAAAAAAAAATGTGCAATTTTGGACAAAGTAATCATGTTCCACAGATTTCTCCGATTTCCTGGTTGAATGCTGTTGGTGATCAACCATCAGGACCTGAGCCCGGCCTTCCCAGTCTCCCCAGTCACTCCATTTGCAATCCACAGCACAAACTCTCTCCTGAGCAGCTTGGAGATGCGACATGCAATACATATTCAGCAGCCAAGGATGATCCAACTCCGTAACAACCCCACCTGGTGTACCACTTCACAGCTACACACAGCTACAACTCTCCGGCCCCACTCCTCGCAGTCAGTCGCAAGTGACCAGTGGCCCACACAAGTGGCACCTTGGAACCAGCGCACCAGGGTGTCTCTATTTTTCCATATTTGTCCCATGTATCAGGGGGCATGGGATTACTATGATTTCCGCATAGGCACGGGGTGTCATCAAAACCATCACGCTTCCCAGTGAGCCCCCAGCCTCCATATTGCTGGTACTGTTTCTTCTCTCGCGTTTTCGTCTGGCGCAACAGGGAACCATCTCGTCAAACCACGTCCGCAGCATTTCACTTCCATGCTGTTTGGATGCTCAGACTCGAAGATTCTCCATGTTGCCAAAAAGTAAAATTTAAATGGGTATGAGTCAAAGACAGGCAACCCCAAGAATTGCATGGTTTACTGTTTACTTCTTAAAATGACGGGAATGTGGTTTGCAGGTCCTTAAATTTAAGCATGACATGCCGTACATGACTCCAAACGGCATGTAGGACTGCATGACTTGTCCATGAAGTGTTCAGGATGATCGTAAGCAAGTGTGTGACACAGTACATCCCCATACCTGTGATTTCATGAGTTTTTCCAAACCATTGAACATGACCCCATGGCACCTTGGTACCGAGTCCACAGGTCACAGAGCAAACGCCCCAGGGAGACCACTCGTCCCACATCTGCGGCAACAAGGTGTCACAGCAAACCAAAAAGGCTCGAAAAGTAGGATTTTACCCGTATGTTGCTAGGAGTTTATGAGTTTATTTATTCTATAATTCTATGCGTTTTCTATCTTTTTTGGCGTTGCGAGATGTGTAGAAAAGCAAGGATCATATTATGCGGAAATATGATTGGAACATGGCTGTGGGCCTGTTTAGATATTGTGTATCTCTCATGTCGCAAATACAATGTGGGATTGACACAAGCCCCTCTGCAAGGGGATGTAGGGAGTGGGAGAATATTTTATATCTCTATATATATATATAATATATATATATATTGTGGGTAAAATAAAAGTAAACCATCCCCCAAATCAGCATAAATAGGTGGTATAAACAATTCCCAAATGCGTGGTTTACTATTGTTATATACAAATATTCAAATATTTATTTATTTATATATATATGTGTGTGTGTGCGTGTATGTGTATATATATATACATATCATTAATACCGAGCAACCCACTTTGACATCCAGCTGCCAAACCCTGGGATGAACGATCCAACTTCAGCATCCTCACAAATGTTTACTTTCGGTCGAGCGACGCAATCCAAAGGACAGGGATTCTTGTTGCAAACCCGCGTTTCTCTGTCATTGGTGTCGCAAGCAGCCTGGAAGTGCCGAGCTGATTTCCTCCCAACTTGGTTTCACGGAACCCTCAAAACACATCAAAACATCTCCGTTTCAACTAAAGGCACTTGCTGTTTCCCTCCAACAGGTTCTTCCATACTCACCAAACAAAACCCGTTCACCACCAGTCATCACCTCATTTTCCACATCCAAGGAACCCCGTTCCCCGTGGCCATGACCTTCACCTTTCGGGTGCGAACCGATTCTCCTCCTCCGCAGGAGAACTGGCAGACGCTCCAATCCACCCAGGTGTCCCAGAGGCAGTCCACCTCGGATCCAAGGCACTTCACCGATGAGCCCACAACTTCACTTAATCCTCGTGTCATGCTGTGGTTTAAAAATCACTTTATCATATTATATAATTATAATAAATATAAATAAATATATATATATATTATTTGAAGCCTTGCAATGTCAATCAATTCAATCATCTGAACTGGGGGAAGACCCCAACTCGGAGAAGACCATTCCTTCTTGATTCTTTCCAAATGCATCCAGGTGGCATTTTCATCGCTTGATACTACTGTAGTGGTGATGGTGGCTCTTCCAGAGTCCTCCAACAGAGTTGCGGATGGGCGGGTTTCCGATCACTCGGGCTTGATTGGGTTTTGCCGCCGTGCTATGTTGGATCAGTCTGTACAAAAAAAAGCATCTTCGACCCGTTCCAAACCATTCGATATCAGCAGACTCCAGGTTTCAAGAAACGAATCCATGCAGTGTCTGTGAATCTGAATCAATTCCATCACGTGGCCAAACTCTGCCAGCCTTGAACTCGGCCATGGCATGGGCTTGCCCTGTAAGATCCACCGCTGCTGCCACTCGCTGGCCCTCAGCAACAGCTTTCGGTGGATCCGGGATGATCCGGGATGGGGCACATGAACTTTCTTCACCTCTTCCCCCAAAGAAGGGGAAAATGCAACAGAAAACAAAGATGTTCACCTTTCAATGCCTTTCAAATCACTGGGTCCCCGGGAGTTGAGATCACTGGGTGCAGGGCATTGGAGAATGCCAGGCGTGCCTAGGTCGTAGCTGTCTTCACACTGTGTGGAGCATCATCGCAGAGACAAGAGGAGTCACCCAGCCTCCGCCGTGTGAGCTTCCGCCGTGGCATGCCTGGAAAAATTGGTTGATAAAAACAAACATCCAAGGACACAACCAGGTGCAACTGCAGGTGCTTCATGTGCTAAGTTCACCACGGAATCTCTTCTTTGTTCCTGACCAGCTCTATGTTTCATGCACGGCGCGGAAATCAAGCACCAAAAAAAAGACGCGAAGCATAGTCATTCTTACCATTCGTTAAGAGCATCCAATTTTGGAGGAAAGTAGATTTGAGCCATATCCACTTGGGCTCAAGATTGTTCAAGTTCAATCATGGCATCTGCTGCTGAGCTTGGCCATCGACTACAAAATTTCTCCAAGCATCGGCGCTGATACCGAGGCGGCATGTCTCACGGCCACGAGACACAGAATTGATGCACCGATGTATCTTCCTGATCAGTGATCAGGGCACAGACTAGCACGGTTTCTACTGAATGAGATGTCAAACAGTCGACTGGGGGGATTGAGGCACGGCCAAACTGCTTGCGAACCAGCCAGCCGGGGGGAGGGGGGACTAGTTCAGTATGAAGTTTCATGCGACTGGAGATTCCAGCCCCCCAAGTACCTTGCTAAAGCAAGATGGACTTCAGCTAGCAGAAGCTAGCTTTCGTGAAAAACAGCGCAGTCTGGACATGTAGCGTTTGCACGTGCTTTCATGCTCAGTCCACAGGCAAAACTGGAGTCCAAACACCAGCGCCAAACATCCCACAGGCAAATGGACAACGATTTTGACAAAACCGCAACAGCAGCCACCCAGGCCACTATCTTAGGACCAGGTTGCTGCTATTCAAGAGCGGAGGCATTTTTCCTAAGCTTGCGCAAGTCAAAGTTGAAGTGAGCTTGAAAACAGCATCTTTGTGGAGCCAAGGTCTACCATGAACTGGTCAAATGTCAGCAAGATTAAGCAAGCGGCTTCTATGCAAGTCACGGAGTGTATTCCTTGGCTGGCATGAGTTCCAACAACCAGGAAACTGGTTCATAGCAAACAAGTCTTTAGACTTCCAAAAGCGGGACTCGACAAATGTCTTCAGTCCGCCAGCTAGGAGTCCGCTTTGTTCAGGATCGACTTCAAACGTTGCTCTGTCCTGAAAACAATGGTAGCGGTCCAAGTGCAGAAAAGAAGCTGAGAAGTTGCAGCCCAAAGCTGCCAATAGACTTGTGGAAGATGAAGTGAGTCCACCTCGTCATTTCCACTGCATTTTGAAGTTGTTCCGCTGTCCCAGAACTGATGCACAGCCACTATGATCAGCCAAGGAGCAGAAAACGAAATAACCTGAGCAAACGAAAGCAGAAATCAAAATGAGAAACACGGTTTTCCTTCCAGGAATCACGATCCAACTCCTGAACGGCAGCAGAAACGTCCATAATCAATACAGGTGATGAACCTACAGGACAAAATAAACCAATGAAATTGTGAAAAAATGAGGGAAAGCCACCAAAATCGGAGGCATGACCGCACGGCAATCAGCAGAAATGGGGACAAACATGGTTTTCTACTCATCAAGTGGCTATTCCACCGTCTTGCCCCAGGTTCACCCCACCGAGTGGCCGTCGAAGAGTTCGGCAGTGTACTATCAGCCGCAGACCATGGAGCCAACGGCTGCACAACCAACAGCCATGTATGACCATGTCAGCATGGGAACGGAGGGTTTCACCACGTTTAACCACCGAAAATGTGAGTATGTTTGTTTGAAACCAGCATGCGGGCCGCATGCTTACCATAGGAAGAACCTATAGTCTCTTTGATTTTGGCGATCTCTCTCTCTCTCTCTCTGAGTCTACTTCTATTAAGAAACTTCAATCTTTGGGACATCTGATGGAGGGGAGAGAGTGATTTTTCTTTGTTGGCATGGCACAATGTGGTAAACCCAGCGTCATACACCATCCCCAAGTCATCACCATTTTGATGGGTGGGATTCCAACCATTGGGCCCACCTTACCCCCCAATTTCCAGCGGATGATCAGCTTCCGACGCAGCCGACATCTCAGGCGGCCTGGTGACGCTGGTGGCCACCGGAGGCTCCGAAGGAACCGAAGGCACCTGGAGGAAGGAAACCCAATGGGATTTAATAGGAAGACAAGGGATTCAATGGAAACAAGATGGGATATATCCCCAGGAAATCAGTTCCATAGTTTGGCGTAAAATCCCCTTTTTAAGCTGGAATCTGAAGGCCTGTCTGGAATGGAGATCCTAGTGATGCTCTTATGAAGAGGGGGGGGAACGGAGAACCTTGATCACAAATCTCCCCCAAGTTCCAGCACCTGTTCCTCACTTTTCGGCAAGGCTTCAACCTCAGAAAATGCCTTCGCGCCTTCGCTGTGGAAAACTCAGCCTGCCACAAGTCTCAGCACCGGACTTTGCGTTGGAGCCAGGGAGGGCGCTGCTTGGGTGGCTTGGTCTTCTCTGAGTCAGGCCTGAGTGCTACTAAGAAACCCCTTGGCTGTTTAATGGTGGAGGGGTGTTGCATTTTCGTGGCCAATCGTTACTGCTTAGGGGTGAACGTATAGTTCCTGAACTATTCTGGGCAACCATGAACAAATTGTTCATTGGGGTTGGCATGGCTGTTGCCACTTGGAAAACACACTTCACTGGGGTCACTGCAAGCCTGTGCTGTTTTGCCGCACCATGAACTCCTCCGGTGTGGTGCCAGCATCAAGATATAAAATTGTGAGATGAAGCTTTACTTAAGTTGGAAATAGTTTCCATGCACCCAGAATAGGAACTTTCACCATGGATGGTGCAAGTCTAAGCAAAAGACCCGCAGCACGTTGGCCACTTCCAGCTGGTGTGATTTCTCTTCCTCTGCTTGTAGGCTCTTCTGCTCCTGCAGAAGTCGCTCTGCTCAAATCAGTTGGCGAATCACGAGGTGACATTTCCCTGAGTCTGTAGGTGAAAGGAAACTCTCCTCGTCATATCTTGCGAACAATGCCTAAACGCAAGGATGATACCGCAATAATTCTCAACAATTCTCAGTTTTGGGAAATTGATGAATCGTGAAGGTGGCAAAGCCGATAATAAAAATCGACCTGGGGAAGGTTGACAGTGTCCCCAACTTGCACCAACCTCTAATCTGTGGTTTTACGATGCTTTGCCACGATATGAACCAAGTGGTTTGCTTTGCAGGCCTGCCTTTGGTGACAAGCAAACCAACTGGTGTTGCTTCCAACATCTGCGCTGGCAGATCTCATCGCAGTATATAACACCTTTGCACCTGTGGTTGTGGCTAAGAAAAGGCAATGTGCACATTCGGGGCGACATGCATTCTTCGTCGTGACCTTGAATTTGTGCACTCTATATGGATGCAAGTTCTGACATGCCGAACCTCTGACAGACCCGCAGTGCCTTCACATTGCCACACCTAAGCAGCATGAACGTAAACATACCCAATTTGCAGGGGTTTTAACATCTGAATAATGACCTTTCCTCGGCCGTGCACGCCCCACATCCCACAGGAGACAGATCCGGAGCCTGAGAAATTACTGTTCTGCATCTGGGATGCTACGTGTTGGGGATCCACAACTGACCCGGCAAACACAACACACAAAAACAAATGAAATGCAAGAAAAATGATCTGAGCAAAGCACCGGGGTCATAGGCGGTCCCCTTTTTGACATTGGCATTAAGATCCGATTTTCCTGTACAAACATCTGACGGAGGTTCCAAATGTTCCAAATGCAGTTCCAAATACCAATGGCATACCCCACAGTCTCCTCTGCACAAGCACCATCAACAAATCGATTTTTCGACGGGAGATCTGCCACGATTTTGCGGAAATAAGCAAAACGAGTGCCGCGGCGAAAGTGCAAGCATACATCAGCAACAATTACCATTATACACCAGGGACACCAATGTTCCATATAACTAATCATCATGGCCCATGCTAACCAATTCAATTGGCAAACGCACCATGAAAGTTCTTTGCCGGCGGTCTCATGCGCGTCCCATCCGGGAACACAATCGTATCCTGGCAAGATTGCTGGATCTTAACGCGACAAATATTCCGTGTGCACGAACACCTTCCGAATCCATTTTTGTTCGCACTGTTCCTTCAACCTTGCTGGTGGACGCAAATGCGAGAACCAGTAAGAACCAGTGACTCATATGCTTTCCCAAAGTGCACCTTCGATAACGACCCGCATTGCATCCCAATGCTCCGCATTGCGCTGGTCATTTGGAAGGCCTACGTCCTTAGAACAAGACATCTCGCTAACATCATGCCGTTGCTGCGAGCCAAATGTTGGTAACACCCGAATTTCCCAAACAATGCTCCACAATTCCTTGCCAAAGCGTGGGACAGGAAATGTTTGAATGTTCACTGTCTGACCCGTGAATAACAACGGGCGTAGCAACCAACCAAGAAATTGTAACTGATTTTTTGTTTCGATATGTTTTACCCGCATTGTTTTTCGGTCCCCAGGACACGCCGATTTTTATCGCATATCTCTCGCGGGTGCTGGTTCAAGTAGAACATTGTGCCCGGAGGATTGAGTTCTTATCCCGCCATTGGTCTTGTCTAGAGAGGCCGGGAGGCCAACAATCAGTTTGGTTTTTGTTGTTGTCGTTGCTGTTGCTGCTGTTGGTGTTGCTGCTGTGGGTGTGGGGGTGGTTGTGGTTGTGGCTGTGGTTGTGGTTATTATTGTTGTTGGTGTTTTTGTTCTTGTTTTTGTGTTTGTTTTTGTTGTTTTTGTTCTTGTTTTTGTTGTTGTTTTTGTGTGTGTGTGTTATTGTTCTTGTTTTTGTTGTCACTGTTGTTTTTGCTTTTGTTTTTGTTCTTGTCGTCGTTGTTGGTACAAACAAAGACCTTGGGGCCCTGAAAACAAACTACCCGAACTTATCTTGGATGTTGTTGTGTTGTGGTTGTTGTTGTTGTTGTTGTTTTTCTTCTTCTTTCTCTTCTTCTTCTTCTTCTGCTTTTTGTTCTTCTTTTTGTTCTTCTTGTTGTTCTTCTTGTTGTTCTTGTTGTTCTTGTTGTGCTTGTTGTTCTTGGTGTTCTTGGTGTTCTTGGTGTTGTTCTTGTTCTTGTTCTTGTTCTTGTTGTTGTTCTTGTTCTTGTTCTTGTTCTTGATGTTGATGTTGATGTTGATGTTGGTGGTGGTGGTGGTTGTTGTTGTTGTTGCTGTTGCTGCGGTTGTTGTGGTTGTGGTTTACAAGTCCGCGAAGTATGTTAGCTGTGGCGGGGTTTTCATTGTGTTCATCAAAAAAGTACGGGTGGGTTCGGAACGCCTAAAACTTTACCTTAAAACGGCAAGTCGAGCACGCAATGCCCAAGTTTAAAAAAATACGTGGCATTTTTGCTTAGCGCTTTGATATTTTGATTGCAAACGTTAGCACAGCGCCCTTTACTGACAACCGCCCTTTTCTGTGGATGCAGCTTTCGTTCATTCTTTAATCTGAAGTTGAAAAAAACCAATCGCAAATCAAGTTTGGACCTGAACCGCCGAAGGCCGAATGCAATCATTGTTCCTGCTCTGCTGCCTGCGTTGTTTACACAGACTGGGGCTGGCTTGGCCAATTCCAAGGCAGTATAGTATGGGTTGCCAGCTGTTATTTTGCTCCAGCGTGGAGCGCCTCTCTTGGTAAATTTAATGTAATGTTTCCCTTTGGTCCCCTGAGATGCTGCTGTTCCATTCACAACGCTATGAGGAGAAACGGGAACAGGAAAACAAACAACCTGCTGCGGAGCAGCGTGTAGGACTGGCACTTTTTACTTAGCGTCTCATATTTTCCGACAGTCCCAGAGTCTTACGACCGGATTTCTAAATCTGTATATGGAAGAAAGGATGCTTGCCAATGTCTTTTAAAGTATTCCGGCAGACAGGTGCAGAGTCGCCTTTTCCTGTGCGCTGCAAAATGGGGAAAACTAGTGGTCGAATGTTTGCCCGAATTTCCTGATGGTAGGTTTTTGTTTCCATTTTCTGTTTTTGTCCGCAAATTGGTCAGGCTGGCATATTTTTTGGCCATGGTCATCATCCATCGTCATCATTCTTTGTGGTCATCATGCCATGGTCGTCTTCGATTTTGTCCATGATCGTTCTGGTATGGCAGCCATGGTCGTCATGCAGCCATGGTCGTCATGCAGAAAATGACGACCATGGTCATCATCCGGTTTTTGCACATGGTCGTCCTCCTTGCAAAAAGCGATTAAGAAAATAACGACAATGGTCGTCATTTTGAAAATGATGACCATACCAAAGGCCATGGCCGTCATGGTCATCAAATGATGACCATGGACATCTTTTTGAAATAATGACAAAATTATGAATGATGACCATGATGATGACCACGATGATGACCATGGAGAGTTTTGCGGCAAAGACCCTACTGTCCAAACCTTTGTCCTGACAGGCATACTTATAGTACAAGGTGGACCCCCACATCATTTCCTCGTTGCTGAACGTACTCACCAAGAACAGGTACTGATCTACGACAACCTCCAAGGCCATAAGTGGATTCCAGTTAATCAGATTAAACCGAAGTCCTTGGCATGGGGCTTTCTCTTTCGACGACATGACTGTCAGCCATACTCTTTTCAGCCGGAACAATATAAAGTGATTGCTCCTTCGACACTCAATGAAGCGGATCAATCTAAGACGTCAAAGTTGTCCAAGCCAGTCAAGAAAGTACCCATTGGAGTCAACGCCAGCAAATACTCCAACATACCCAAGCCCAAAAAAACGCCACTTGGCCCCTCAAGAGTCCCATCACCTGTTGATAATGCGCCACCACCCCACCTGGCCAGCCCGCAGGCTGCACAGGAAAATACCAACCAGCCTGATGCCACAGTTATACAGGTACGCACAACTGACCGAACGCCTATGTTGAACCAACGTGGGTGTCCCACGACTGGTTCCCTGGCAGCAGAAAAGCAGTACCCCGACGTATGCACTGGACATGGTGGTGCTCATGAACGTAGCCTTCCCGACAGTATCATCCACCCGAATGTCGGCACAGAGGCTAGCAAACCAGTTCACGAGCTCGCAGATGATGCCATATTTGATAAGCGTCTCCCTGCTCAGCCTGATTGTACCAACGCCACCACTGCCAAGAGTGACACATGTCCAAGAGAGAAAGATGCCTCTCCTCCCAAAAGAACTAAATTTTCAGAAGCCCACCCATATGCGATCATCAGCCTTTTTGATGGTGTTGGATCGGCCATGCCTGCAGTTATCAAAGCAATAGGATTTGCGCCATTAATTGTCATTGCCGCTGAGTGTGACCCAATCCTCCGACAAATCGAAGGGGAACAATTTCACTTCAGAACCGATGGCAAGTGGTCGAAGACAATCCAACACACCTCCGCCATCTATGTTGATGATATCCGGAAATTACTTTCTGATAGGTGTCGTGTGCTCAGGGAAGCTTTCGATCTCGCTGGCCCCCAGTGTCGGTGGATTGTCATCGCTGGATCACCCTGTCAGGACCTCACTCTTGCTGGGCCGTTTGGAGGGCTACTCGGACTTACTGGACCATGCAGCTCCCTCTTTTACTATGTCCACGTCATTCTGTGGTTCCTGCAAATGAATTATCCTATTGAACTTATTCGCTTCCTGCTCGAAAATGCAGGCACAATGCTTGACATCCACAGGAAAGCCATCTTGCGAGCCCATGGCCTCAACGTTGAGATCAATCCCGACCATCTTCGTTTTGATCCTAAGCATACGCATGGCATCAAACGGAACAGGTTCTTCTTCCGCAATTATCAGGACTGTTCCTCAGTCGCCAAAAACGCTGTTTTGGCAAGTGCCGACGAATCAGGGCCCCTCATTGACTGCGGTGGATATCCCATTCCTTTTGGTCCTTTGCTACGAGTTCGTGCTGTAATTGGTCATAATGTTTACCCACTCTCATGGGCTTCGCACCAGCCTATTTCACTCATTTGGGACTATCGGTTTTGGGGAGGAAGAGATGAATTTCAAGCTAAAGTCAAAATGCAAAGTAGCGACTCCATGCCTCAATTGGACTTTACCCATGCCCTATCGCCTGGTCAAGCCATTAATCGGAAACTAAAACCCGTTAATCGGAAACTAAAACCCGTTAATCGGAAACTAAAACCTGTTAATCGGAAACTAAAATAATCGGAAACTAAAACCCGTGAATCGGAAACTAAAACCCTTGAATCGGAAACCAAAAACCCGGAATCGGGAACCAAAGCTGAATCGTAAACTAAAGCAGGTGAATCGGAAACTAAAACCTGTTAATCGGAAACCAAAAGAATCGGAAACTAAAACCTGTTCATCAATCCTAATGGGCAACTTGTCTTCTTCCAATGGAGTGGATTGCATGGGTTCTCTTTAATTGGGATCAGACCACGGCAAATCATGGGTGTGAAATCAGTCCGAAGGTAAGATGAATGTCAAAGGAGGATGTGATTTCGTATGAAGATAAGTTGTAGGTGCTATCCTATGTAACACAGTCGCCAGACGGGGTTGGCGGATTTGATTTCTTATGAAGTGAATTAGCGGAAAATATCCTATTGAGCATAGTGGCCAGAGGGGGTGGCGGATTTGATGTCTTGTGAAGATAAGTTGAAGTTAATATCCTATGTAGCATAGTGGCCAGAGGGGGTGGCGGATTAGATTTCTTATGAAGTGAAGTAGAGGGTAATATCCTATTCAAGATAGTGGCCAGAGGGGGTGGCGGATTTGATTTCTTTTGAAGTGAAGTAGAAGGTAATATCCTATTCAACATAGTGGCCAGAGGGGGTGGCGGATTTCATTTCCTTTGGAATGAAGTAGAAGGTAAAATCCTATTCAACATAGTGGCCAGAGGGGGTGGCGGATTTCATTTCCTTTGAAGTGAAGTAGATGGTAATATCGTATTCAACATAGTGGCCAGAGGGGGTGGCGGATTTGATTTCTTATGAAGATAAGTTGAAGTTACTATCCTATTCAACATAGTGGCCAGAGGGGGTGGCGGATTTGATTTCCTTTGAAGTGAAGTAGAAGGTAACATGCTACTCAACATAGTGGCCAGAGGGGGTGCCGGATTTGATTTCTTTTGAGGTGAAGTAGAAGGTAATATCCTATTCAACATAGTGGCCAGAGGGGGTGGCGGATTTGCTTTCGTATGAAGATAAGTTGACGTTAATATCCTATTCAACATAGTGGCCAGAGGGGGTGGCGGGTTTGATTTCATATGAAGATAAGTTGAAGTTAATAACCTATGTAGCAT